GGGGGGGGGGGGTGGACATCAGCTGAAATCGATGCTAATAGGTGGAACTGGAATCATACGGTTTCAAAAGAATGTCTTCATTAGGTGCTAGAAAACAGGTCACAATACTCATTTTACATGTAGTAGGTGACATTTAATCAAATAGAATCTCAATCAGGCATTGCGCACAATGAGACCATGAGCATCAGGAAATAAAAATATTCAAACTGGAAAAAGTGCAAATCAAATATTTTAGATGAAAAGTGTTTTTTTCTTTAATCTGACCAGGGAGATGGTGGGATAGCCTGGTCAAGGACTTTAACATAGTCCCAGTTTTAAGATGTCAGGCTCACTGAAAAGCTCAAAGGAAACAGGGGTTTTCTGGTCCAAAGATAATGGTATGTTATGGGTTATTACAGTCTCATGTCATTTCTTTGGTTATCATTTAAATCCTAAGAGAAAAAGGGACTAAAATACAAAAATGTAATCTAAACCCTTAAACCTTCAAAAATGCTCACTTTTGGAGGAAGAAAAAATAGTAACACTTAGGGAAAGAAAAACTTGGGGAAATTATGGTTATTATTTTTCTGAGGTCAGTTCACTCATCAGAAATAACAGATGGTTCTTCTGATCCTCCAGGATATCAACTGTCAATTAAAGCTAAACTAAATACAGAACAATCTAAATTAGCTTGGGAAAGGTGTCATACTGAATAAGTAACTGATATCCTCAAGTCATCCTCCTTATCCAAATCTTTACCAAAATTTCTATAAAGTATCCATTTGAAAACACGGACTTCAATTCTTTTTATTCTGACTTCTGGTATCACCTAAGTCCAAGGAGTTGAGAAGAAATGAGAGATAAAGATAAGCAAAGGGACTAGTTAACATGTAAATGGAATAGTCCATAAAGCCCTGAGCAATCCAAAGTTACTGTATCAGGTTGTGTAATCTGTAGTCATAATGCCTTGGCTGTAAGAAAAATATTTAATTAGAACATGATGTTAAATTTTACTTTATAAAGTTAGAGTTACAGATTTCAAAATTTTTTTAAAGCATCACAATGCAAGCTTGACAAATCACTTTGGTTCAACTCTAACACCCCCTTAGACTATAATTAACTACTTAACCAGGTAGACAATAAAGGTTTATGTTTCATGATGATTTTATTTAAATAATTAGAAGAAACCGATTGCTATCCACAATGAAAATAAATCAGGCAATTTGCTTACAATCTCATATTTGAAAATATGTAAAAATTCTGTGCAAACACACAAAGGGGGAATTTACCATTTTTGTTGGAAAAAAATTCTGTAAGGACTAATGACTGAGAAAGAAAAGGACAGTAGTGACTGAGAAACACTGAAGTCTCTTGGATAGTGTTTTAAAAATTAAATGTTTTCATTCAAAGACTTTTAAAATAGAAAAAATAAGGCATCTAATCCTGAAGAAATCAGGTTCTAAGTTACTACACTTTCCATTAACTTATCACAATCCATCCTGCAAATTTACCAGCGTGGATCACACCAATGATAACTAAAATGCCTACAATGTATCTTAACAGTAATTGTAATTTTCCAACCATTTCATGGGATTGGGCTAACTGGTCTGTCCAGACCCAAGTAATTACTTTGCAGCTGACCAAACCAGTGTGACTGCTGGCTTTGACCCCAGATTTCTTCTGGGGCTGCAGGGGGAAAAACTATCTGTATTGACTACTGAAGACAAGATGGTTTATAAAGCACAACTGCCCCAATTCTGGTTTCTAATGAGTTATGTAGTGATTCTCCCAGTTCCTTTTATTTGAAAATCTACAATGGGACTGTTCAAAGAAAGAAAAAAAGCACAACTACATATCTGTGCCCAGGACACTGATTAGGTGATTAGCTGCAGAGACTGTGGAACCAAAATCTGTAGTTTTTCTCTACTCTTGAAAGGAAATATACTGTCCATTGACATGGTTTGTTCTTGGCCTTCCTCTTAATTCCAGTTTTCACTGAGTTGGCTCCATTGAGCATGGTGGATCCGGGGCCCTTTGTTGACATAATGAGTTAGGTGACAGGAGAGCATGGGACTTCTCAACTCCTACAAGGGGCTGGGTGCCACAGGAGGGTAGATGAAAGCTTCGGTCCATTACCTGGGGAACAGAGCCCTCATCAGTGGATGGGGGCATCCAGCAGCTTCGCTCTGTGCCCATTCCACACATCTGGGGCTCTGTCCTCCACGGCTCCATTGACCCTACACAAAAGTAAAAGGAAATGTCAGTATTCACATCATTTGCTATGCCCAGCAAGAGAGACCCTAATAGTAGTGGTTAGAGAATAGGCCTGAAATATGAGACACAAAAGGAACCTATTCCCAAACCATTCTGGACCCAATTGGAAGAAATTAAAATAGTCCTTTTGGTAGAGATGATTCAAAGAACTGTGCTACCTGACACTGCTCCTTAGCTTTCCCTGTGTATTTCCTATCTCCCCATCTGGACCATAAATGACTTGAGAATCAGAGCTCAGGTTTTCAAGTCCTGTATTCCTTTCCCCCAGCATGGTCCTCTGCCTCTAGCATGGTTCTCTGCACTTCACTGCACCGATTGATGTTGCCTGAGGTCAATGAAGATGGTTCTGTGGATCTACCTCCAGTACTGTGCTCTAATGGGTTTTCCAGGAGCAGAGAAAGGATTGGCTGAGAACCAAACTTGATCTTTTATCTCATTTCCCATTCTACCTCCCTACCCAATCTCTATGTATAATTTCACCCCAGGCATTTATGGGACAGCTGCTCATGATCAGGGATGTGATCACTCATACCAGATAGTTATATGAGTAGCCCACAGAGAATGGGTCAGACTGTTTGCAGTAGAGTGTGGAGAGAGAGAGAGAGAGAGAGAGAGGAGATCTATTCCTGAATACTCAACTTACTATAATGAATCCTTATTTTCTGAGTTTTACCACATTCTTACCAATTTGCTGTGCTATTGATTAACTTGCAAAATTATATGTACCTCTAAATTGGATTACGTAGACAGGAAAGAATTAAGTGGGTTTAGCTGCTCAAGGAAAAGTAGTAGATAACTACAAGATAGTCCATTACTTTCTAATAGTGCTATCAATAATAAAAACCTGAGCAACTTTTGAAAATGCTGTCTTTTTTCATTATGCAGGCAACAGTAACCATATACACATTTAAAACTATACTATTTATTATATTTTTTATATTCATTTCTTAAGTATACTTTAATATCCAGTTCTTCCTAAAATGAGGCAATAAAATTCTACTAAGTTCAGTATTTTGGGTTACATGGGACCCTACGTATGAGAGGGGAATTTAGAGTGAGTTTCCCAACTCATAAAGCCTATGATCTCTCTACAAAGAAATCTGAGGAGCAGGGTATGGTAATAAGTATATTGATGAAAGTATAAGTGTAGTTGATATTTCATTAGCTCCTTTCATTAGCAGGAACTGTTTTTGTTGGCTCAAAGTTTCTCTAAACCTTTCCAAAGGTTTATGACACAAAAGCATATTCAATAATGTCTTCTGTGTTGTGAAATATAGCTATGATATTGAGATCCATGCCCAAGCATAATACACCTCTCAACAAAAATATTTCGTCAAGGGTTATCGAACTCCATTTCTCCCTGAAGCGGATTGAATTCCAGAACAGCTTGAAAACCTGAGTTCATTTTCTGCTCCCTCTCCGCAAGTGGTTTGGCTGGACTTCTCAGACAGCCAGGCATCTGGCTGAGGTCTAGACCCTGGTAAGATCTGAATACTCTGAAAAGCCCAGGACAATACCCAGATCAACTTAAATTCCAAGGAACCCTTCCCACTAAAACATGGAACAAGTTTTCTTGAAGCCATTTACAATTTCACTGCGATTACACGTATAGCTACTGATATAGATCCCAACCCCAAGAATGACTTCAAAACCCTAATCCACAATAAAAAGCCATTCATTGTGTACTTTCTCAAAGTAATCTAGCAGACTTCTGTGTGCCTAGAATTTTGAGTGAATATGGTAACCTCATATAAAACAGAAATTCAGCCCAAATTTATTTATCTAAAGCTCCATAGCATTTCAACACAGCCTAGCCGCTCACATAGCTTATACAACGTAACGATTGTTTTTGTGGTTAGATAAGACTTTTCACTAGAAAACATTCAGGACCCATGTAAAGATAACCATTCACCAGACTCCAGGGAGGAAAACTGGCCAACATCTGCTGCCTGGCCATCCTTGCCAGCCACAGGTGGACTCCCATTTCTGAGGTCCTGGTGTTCCTTTATAAGCACAAACTGCAGAAAACAAATGGGAGAGAAAGGATGTTGTTATGATTCACAAATTATCTCAACATACATTAGATCAAAGTCTACAAATTCATCATGTTCATCCTATGGAAGGTAAAAGTCAGAAGAGACTCACCATCAAATTTCTCTCTGGCTAATGAAGATTCCATTTTCAATTAGGAACTTCATGTTACACTTCATTAAAGCAACTAGGCACTACTAATGTTTTTACTGAAGAATTTATTCTAAGTTCAGCATCCCAGCTTTGAGGTCATAGATCCCTAGGGGCTACTGTTTTACTATAAGCAATCCAGGAATCCTAAGCATTGCCCATAGGCCAGAGAAATAATATCTCATGTGCATATGTGCCACAACTTATCAAATATATATACACTAGTTAATAAAATTCATTTAAACATACTACCAAGTTCTGAGTAGCTTAGGATCATTAATAGGTACTAATGACTAATAGTGCAACTACTGTTTCACAAGGATCCACCAAATGTTTTCTCATGGTTGAATGGCTTGGGAACCAGAATTCTAAAAGGGAGGCCCAGAAAACAACATTTCTCTTCGGTCAACAAAATGATGATTTTTGTCATTATTTGTGTTGTCCAAAATTGATTGGGCACTTGCAACGCAGGTTGAACAGAGTTCACTGGCTCACACTCAGGCTACATAGATTAGATATTAAAATAGATCAATGATAAAAGGAAAGAAGTAACCCCATGCTACAGGACAAACGATGCAGTTTGGTGAAGCCCTTCCTTGTCAATCAGTAACCCAGCAGAAGATCCACCCCAAGGTTTTGGCTGACTGTGCCTCACTGGTGTAGAAACAGGCCCTCCCTAGGAAGGAGCCTACAGCTCAGAAAAAATATGAGGAAAAGGGAATAGGGAAAAAAATCTTTTTGCCCATGTTTCTCTTTGAGAAAAGTGTGGGAAAGGATGATGAGTGGAGTCAATCAGGGAGAAGGGAGGGAAATGCTGGTAATAGGGTGAATCCTATGAATGTGTGTTTTCATTTTCTTGTTTTCCACAACACTAATCACCCTGCAACTCCTCCTCATTAATGTTCTCCCTGCAGCAACACATTACAAAGTCAATATGAGACCTGCTGTTCAAGGGCACATGCCCATTACTTCTGGCTGAAGTCAAAATCCAGTCGTCTGTGTTGCAAATTTTCCAACCATGTGCCTCTCTGCCAGAAAAACATAGGTCCCAGAACTCTGGGCTGAGATGGGGAAGGCAGCTGATGAAACTACATTTGTTTCTGCTGCTTTTCATCCGAGTTTAGATGCTCAGCAGCTGATGTCACCGGCACTTATGACACTGGGGATGGCTAAGCTCAGCAGCCCCAGGCCCCCAACACAGCTCTGAGCCAACAAGCTGCTCATGATAGCAGCAAATGTTTTTGAATTAAAAAAAAAAATAGCACACAGATTGTTTCTCCTTCTTTCCCATGATTTAAATGAGATGAACTAAAGCTGCTACCCAAAACCTTAATGAAATACCGTGTAGACTAAGTGCAATCTTAGTAATTTAGAAGTCCACAAAGTCATGAGGCCTCAAATACTGAGCACATTCTATAGCTAAGTCCTCCTACTTATGAAATTTATAGAGACAGAGGGATCTTAGAGATCATCTAACGCAAACCCCTTGTACTTCTGAAGAGGAAGCGAAGGTCCGCAGAGGTTAAGGACTTGCTGAAGATTAGATAGCCAATGAGTGGAAGGGTAAGGCTAGAACACATTTCTTATTTTATTTCCCTACTCAGTTTCAACTAAAAAACAAGTAAGCACTGAATGCCTGTAACAGGTAGGGACAGATGATCACCTGTTAGTTAAAAGCACAGCCACAGGAAAGCTGTTCTCTGGGAGTGCGTGGTAAGGTAGGGCTGCGGAGTCGGGGGAATGAGGTGGGAAGGACCCCAAATATTGCCTTTGCCCCTCCATAATCTCCCCCAATAGCTCTTCCCTAAGGTTTCAATCCTCCATGGACCTGCCATATCTTTCAGCCTTTTTCACAATATACCACAAATAACACCAACAGCACACACTGAATCAGTCAAGTTATCTCTGACAGATTTCTGGAAATGGAAATTCCCTTAACAGTATCAAGAGAGCTTAGCCTGTCCAAAGTCTGCCTTCTAGTGTTCCAAGGTCAGCTATTAAAGCAAGTGACCCATGAAGCATCTTGAACTTCTCAATCCACTGTGCTTTTTGGATTTTATCAGGCAACTAGGGTTGCCAGATAAAATACTGAACACTGTTAAATTTGAATTTGAATTTAAACTTGGACTTTCAGTATAAACATGAATTTAGGTGTCCTGTATTTTTATTTGCAAAATCTGGCAACTATTTTGCTACTGAAGTTTAGGGACTTAAAATGTATGTGAGACAGTGAAAAAACAAATAACCCAATTAAAAATGGGCAAAGGAGCTGAATAGACATTTTTTGAAGGAAGATATACAAATGGGCAACAGATATGTGAAAAAATGCTAAACGTCACTAATCGTCAGTGAAATGCAAATTAAAACCACAGTGAGATATCATCTCACCCCACTTAGACTGGCTATAATAAAAAAGATGGAGAATAACAAATGCTGACAAGGATGTGGAGAGAAGGTAACGCTCCTATACTGTTGGTGGGACTGTAAATTAATACAACCAGTATGGAAAACAGAATGGAGGTTTCTCAAACAACTACAGGCAACTACCATACGATCCAGCAATCCCGCTTCTGGGTATATACCCAAACAAATGGAAATCATCACGTCAAAAGGTTATCTGCACTCCCATGTTCATCACAGCTCTGTTTACAATAGCCAAGATACGGAACCAACCTAAATGTCCATTGATGGATGATTAGATAAGGGAAATGTGGTATATGTACACCATGGAATACTACTCTGCCATAAAAAAGAATGAAATTCTGCCATTCACAACAACATGGGTGAACTTGGAGAAACTTATGTTGAGTGAAATAAGCAAAGCACAGAGGGATAAATACCACATGTGCTCACTCATAAGTGGGAGCTAAGAGAGAAAGAAGGAAGGAAAGAAAGACCACAGTGGTGCATTGGACTTGTGGAGAGAGAGAAGACGTACGGCTGCAAAGTGGGGTGGGGGAAAGGGGGAGGTAGAGGGAGGTTGGGGATTAATTGGGTGGTGGACACGGGGTATAATCACAATTTGTGGTAATGGACATACTGCCAGTATTGATCTGGCCATCATATCTTGAGCACAAGTGGTGACGGTCAGCTTTGTACCCCATGAATATTTATAACCAATTTAAAAAAATCACACATGCACACACATACATATACACACACATGCAAAAACATGTGCATGATCATACACAGGCACACAGAGAGACATATACATATATGAGTCCTCAGAGTTCAGCTAGAATGTAATTAGAGCCTATCTTAAATAAAGAAAAAGGATAAATAAATCATTGTCCAAAAATAAATAAAATAAAATAAAATAAAATGCGTGTGAAAAATGAATATTAAGAAAATTAGGAGCATGATCTTGGGTTTTTAAGATATCCATCTGAAAGGGATTACTTAAAAATTGAGAAAGACTTTCCACGTAACACATAAAAATCTAAGTTATAGGAAGAAACTTCACAATAGAAAAAAAATCCATAAATTTCTTGTGTCATTAAATTATGGCACCATATTAACTCATCTGATTCTTTAATTTAGGACACAGTCTCCCATCCCCCAGGATCTCTCTAGCTGATGTGGTGTTGGCTAACAAAACACCAGCAGGGAGCTACGACAGATTCCAGCCACTCTGAACTCAGTAAAGAATGAGAAAAGATGAACTGGGGTTAATATCAAGTCAATTCCTTGCTTCATCTGCTTTAGTCACATTACCCAAGGGTGGGGGCAAGAGGACATCCCAGCCTCACTGTCAGCAGGCCTGCTACTGCTACTGTCTCTGATCGACTCTTCATAAGGATTCTTCGGATGTTTTGATGGCAGCTTCTGAGTCCTGTGACAAAGCCAACATTTGAGACAATCTCAAAACAAAACAAAGCAAAACACTCAGCCCACTCAGTGATGGTCGGGGACAACTATTTTTGCTACTGAAATTTAGGTTTTTAAAATGTGTGGGAGAAAAGAAATATAAAGATAACTAGGAACATAACTTTAAGGGTTTAAAAGGCATTCTTTGCTGCAGAACTCAAAATATTTTCCAGATGATATCTCACTCTTTCCAAGGTTCTGCGAGGGGTGTGTATATGGAGGAGAGGGGTAGTGATGTGTCTGTTCATCTGAGTTCTAACTAAATCCCAAGCACTGTCCTAGTACTGGGAATATAGCAAGAGAAAAACAACAACAGTCTCCGCCTTAACGGACTTACAAATTTTGGCAGGGAAATAATATCACAGCAACTATATGAGGCGGGCTATCCCAGCTTCATTTACAAGGGAAGCAGTAGGACTTGGAGATGGCAGTGACTCGGCTACCATGGGCAGCACAGAAACTGGGTCATAATGATGCAAAGCCCAGGCTCCCCTGCAATGTCCTACTCATAAAGGAATTAGAGGCAAGAACAGAAGGAGAGGAAGACCCAAGATAACACAGTCTCAGACTTGTAAACTAGGAAATAGACTAGGTCTCCTGCTTACAAATCCAGTTTGTTAAACACTGATTTGTTTGACAAATATTCACCACTAAGTCTATGCAAGGGGCCATGCACTGGGGGAGGGGAAGAGGATCTCGCATTAAGGTGGGATCCCTGTCCTCAAAGCAGTAACCTCTAGAAGGAGAGAGACGGGTACACACATGTTACACAGGTCCCATTTAAGGGAAGGCAATGAGGCAATGTGGCAGCAAAGACCACCAGCCAGCCTCGAGACTCCAAAGCAACACTGCTGTCAGCGGCAGATGGGCAGCCTAATCCCCTCTATGAGTGTGACCCTCTGTCAAAAGCCCTAACTGGACATCTGGGGAAGAGCGATAAGGAAGAAAGGGGCTGGTGCAAAAGCCACATGCCACAAGCTGAGAATACAACATTGCAGATAGTACTAGGAGATGGGGTGGGTTATTACTGGCTTTAATAAAGGCTTCAAGGAAAAAATTGAAGCAAGTGGCTGATATAAACAGTTCTAAAGTTCCAAAGTTGTAGTTTGTGATGGAATACTTCCTGTTGATTCCTTACAAGGGGTCCTTCCAAGAAATCAAGTTTTATGAAGTAATAATATTAGAATACTGTAAAAATTTCATTTAGTTTCATGAACATTAATCTTTTGAGAGACACAGAAATGTCAAACACTCAATCTAGATAAGACAGGCAAGGAATGGTGTAGAGAGAGGAAATAACTGATTCTAACTCTAAAAAATCATCTAACATACCTAACTTAAAAACTCAAGGTTAGCACTGCATTTGTTGGTATACTTTAGTGGCCATGGAAATATTTAGACTAGTAGCTTTAATTTGATCTTGTCAGAATCAATCTATCTATAGCACAAATGTAGTCAAGCATGTAGCTGAAAATTTGCAGCAGGGTAAGCAGCTATATTGATCAAAACTGTTATGTAAATAACCATAGATTTACTAAGGAAAAGTTATTTTACAACTCTGGATGCATTTCAGCAAAAAGAGAAAACAGGGTTCTGATGAGCTTTCTTTCTGAGGAAATAGTCATTATTACTTTTGATTTTAGGTAGATGGGAGTGAGAGGCTAAAGTTTGTATTTGTATGTAAAGTCTACAGTCATCTTTCAGCTAAGCTGGTCTTTGAATTCCAAGTCAAAAAGGCCAGCAATTTGCCATTAGCTTCTAATCCAGATCTCTAAAAAATGCAAGTAGGATATAAGACACACTTACTACGTCAAAACACATCAAATAAGAAAAAATACTTAATAATTATGGCACACATGAACTTGAGTTTCTCACTTCCATTTTTTCTACACTATTTGCCAAGCATCTACCTTTCTCTTCCCATTCTGTCCAGTGGGATGAAACATTGATCATACAATATTCTTTCCACAAATGTCCAAGATATCAGTTGAATACCAGATCAAAAAGTGCAATGTTCCTGAGGGACCACTGAATTAAAATTTCAAGTCTGTGCTTGTTAACCTTGTCTCTCAGCAGATGGCAGAAAAGGGCTTACAGCATATGACTCTTTTGGGGAAGATTACAGTTCATGGAAAATCGTATCAATAACAACAGGTAGCATTTATTAAATCCTATATGCCAGACCTACAGTTCTATTCTCATCCCTATTTTATAGCTAAGGAAATTAATGAATACAGAGGTTAGGAAACATGCCTGATGCTCTTTAGGCACTAACTGGGAATTGAACCTGTGCAATCTGATTCCAGAGTCCATGCTCTTAACCACTACACTAGGATACAGCAGGATCTCAGACAAGTGCATCTTGGCTGATACACTCAATTTTCCAGATTACAAGACAGTTGCCACTTGAGTGGTGTACAGTAGCGGTAAATGTGGTTGGATGGTGGCAGGTATCTGGTACATTCCCAGAGAATTGGAGCTTATTAGTTAAGAGGGGCCTAAGTTCTCCAGTCATAAAATGGTAAGATTGAACTAGATAATTCTATATAGTCCCCTTCAGCCTAAAAGTGCTATGACTCACTGATATTGTGCAGCACAAACTATAATGGTACCTGAAATGTTTCTCAGTGTTGATGACAGTGGAGGATGCTATCCTACTTTTTAAGAAAATGGAAAATGAACAAACCATGTGATTCACATACTTTCACACTAATGTAGCATTTTTAAAAACTTAAATGTAGAAATATTTTAGTTCCACAATTTTTAACCATTAACTTGAAACTATTGAAAATCCAAAGATCAGAAACTTTCTTTCAAGTTACGGGAGATACTTATTTTCTTTAACACTAGTGAATATTTTGTGGGAAATCAGGTCAATGGAAGGCAGTCACAAGAAGCTATAGTTATGCAGACCACAGGGGGTAAAACATGTGAGGCTAAAAGAAGAAAGTGGAATGCAAAGTGCACTCACTACGTTAAATAACAACCACATACACGACTCGGGTGTGGATGAAGGCTGGATGGGACAAGGAAACGTGACAGCATTGATGTTTTAGGGCAGTGAAATCCTGGGCCTTTTTTTTTTTTTTTTTTTGTAAACTTCCATTTTTTAAATGTATTAAATATGTAGAAGTTCATCTCAAGAAGGCAGGTGTTCCCCTGGGAGGGCGTAGAGAGAGGTTGAAAGTACCATTGGGAAAAAAAAAAAGGTTACCTGTAGTGGTGAGCCCCCCATAGCCCCATGAATGTATTAAATATGTAGAAGTTCATCTCAAGAAGGCAGGTGTTCCCCTGGGAGGGCGTAGAGAGAGGTTGAAAGTACCATTGGGAAAAAAAAAAAGGTTACCTGTAGTGGTGAGCCCCCCATAGCCCCATGAGGAGCAGCAGGACAAGCACAACCACGCAGATGGCCACCACGGTGACGTTCGTCTGCCACCCACGGCCGGCATGGCGCAGCTCCCACCACTTCAAGTCTCGGTGCTGACATCGTTCCCCGACATAGCCAACAACACAGCTGTGACAACATACAAACAGGTCATCAGAGAGCCCTGGCCAAAGATACTGATATTTTTCAGACAATCTCCAGCCATCTCTCAACCTCTGCGTTTCTAGACTCAGCTCTTTGGAAGCACATGGTAAATCCATCGGGGGTCAGCTGAAAGCACTGTTATTTACAAGTTAATGCAGCATGGACTTTCCCCTTTGGTCTGTTTGTCCTGGGATTGATGGGGGAATTTTTTGCATACTGCCTGTATAAGGCATTACAGAACATTGATTAAAGATCAATTTCTGTTAGGCTAAAATCCTAAGGAGCTATCCTTTAAAACCAACACAAAGCAACTCTGTCCTAAGAGCCAAGGGAGTTTTGAAAACAAATGTTTGGCCGGATTGTAATGTGTACAGGTCAAAGGAAAGAGGAACTCGAAGGCAGAGGGCCTCATCTGAAACAGTCCCTAAAAGAGGAATGTGTGCAGTCACTGACCAGGAAGCACAGCCCAGGCTGTGGGTTTTCCCATTTTGTGGTGGGGGTGGTTGTTTTAAGAATCACTACTGGCCCAAGAGAAAAGGTCTCAGTGATGACACACAAATATTTGCTTATTTTCTTCAAGGGGGAAAAACTATATGGAGGAAAAAACAAACTTTCACCCACAAACACCCTGCTGTCTCATTAGTGAAATTGTTACTAGAATTATCAGTGACCAATTTACTGCTAAACCTTTCTAAAGTAAATGAAACAATGCTGCCATCTACTGGGAATGTGTGTTTCCAGAAACTACTGGGATCTCAGGTAAACACTTGTACTCTTTTTTTTTTTTTTTGCTAAAGCATCAACTTTAAAAACATCCTATTAAACATTACGTGATGCTCACTTATTAGTCCTCTCCTTGGACTTGGATCAACTATCTATCCAACCATGCCCCCACGTTATTCCAAAAGTAATGAATACACAGAAAACTGATACCAGTCCCTACGGTGTTAAGAGGCACCATGGAAAAAATATCAGACAAAGCTGCAAAAGATCTGGACACTAGTCCTTGTTCTACCTTTTGCTGGTCATAGGAGCTTGACAAGACACTTTCAGAGGAAGGAGGGAAAGGAATTAGCATTTGTTAAGCACCCTATGTTTTTGACACCATGCTAATCTTTTACTAATTTTATTCTCCATGGCATATTCCCATTTCGCAGATGAGAAAACTGAGGCTCAAGGAGTCAAGTCGTTTGTACGAGATCACACAGCTAATGAATGACAGGTTTAATTCACATGATTCTCCAATTTCAAAGCCTTTGTTTCATCTACTACACCATGCTGCTTTCAAAAAGGGTTTTAAGCTCCATTCACCATTGAAAAGCTATTCTTCTAGAACTGACCATGCAAGAGATGGCAGGATCTGAGTATAGAAGCCTAATGGGCCATCAAGTTATCCTAGGCTTTTCTGGATACTGTTTTTAATTCTAGCTATATTTGATTATAGCCATTTACTATCAATGCTTAGCAGCCACTTTTAAACTGTTGGTTGTTAATGCGCCATACCTCTGATCCTCGCAGAGATTTTGGCGTCTGGAGGAATATGTCAATCAGGTAATCAAGAGTCCTGGGAGTCAACTCAGGCTGCGATAGCAGGGCTTCTCCGGGCCTTATAAGGCCCAGTATGGTCTATCAGCATTTTTATTTGGGGCAGGGGGGTGGGGGAATACAAACCACTAGTTCTTTGAGTTATTATTAGTTCTTCTGTTAAACTAAACAAAAAATTCCCTGGCCAAATAAATTTGCATTCCCATGATTAAATAATTTCAAGACATTCTGAACTAAATAAAGGTAAACAAGACTTTTTAATGTGTTGTGGTGTACCATGAATCAAGAATTGAAGGCTACTGTATGAAACATTTCTCGCACTGATTTGACCACACACAAACAAACATTTTGCAGCGTTGGTGTTGGAGGTTCTTGGTCTGAAGAAGCTCTGCCCAGAAGGGTGTTTGGCTCAATGTCAAACCAGAATGAGAGAGGACCTCCTCTGAGCTCAGGAGGTTTGGAACCTTCTGAGAATCTCCAGACCAGGAAATCTGTGAGGAATATTTGGGACATGAAGATTCCAGTTCTCACTTCCTCAGCATCACTGGGTACAGCTTGGGACTCCCATCTATCTGAGGGGAACTGCCACTGCCTCCAAGCAAAGAAGGAAGAGCTGGCCTTTTAGAAACCAGCTCCCAGCATGAAAAACACTCTGTATAGAATGACGCCTATGAAGTGTTTCTAATAAAAGCTGGACTGGTAAGCACTCCCTAGAGATTTGCTATTATGGAATTAATAAAACATAAGGTGAGGTCATCAGGGCAGGAAGAGGGAAGGGTTGCATACTTGATTAAACCACATTTTTATTAAATGTACAATTTAAAAACAAAGTTGTGATCCAGATTACTGTGAACCCTGGTGATATTTTAAATATTGCTTTAGATTAAAGGTTCTTAAATTTGAGTGTTATCTCCAGTTTAATTGTCATTTTGTAGCAACTCATGTTTAAAACATTATCAGGGAAATATGATATTTTCATCAGTATTTAATGACAGAAAGAAAAGCAGTGTGCTAAAGAGTTCATCAATCATTGAATGAATTGCTGCTATCAGATCCAAATGAAAATACTGTACTAAATGCAATACGTAATCCTACAGAACTTTTTATGTTATTATAATAATTTTTATGAACTAAAAGTACCATGGAGAAAAACAAACCATGACCTAATAAACTAGGACATTTGTTTTTGTAATTTCATTATTTGGAATAAGAAACAATGAATGAGCAAAAACAATTTGATTCTTAATATTAAAATCAAGACTAACTATTGTAAGTACTAGATTTTTCTTAGGTTAGATAATTATAGTATGTAAATATGAATGTGAAAGCAGGATTCTATTAAAGTAGAGTCATTTTTACAAATATTCATAAGCACTTACCACTATTTTTGTCACACCGACATGATTTATAATGCAGGGCTATATACTTTGTCACAGAATATAACTTATTCTTTTAATAATTTAGACTATAATAACTAAGATACACGAAGGTACTTCAAAAATTTTGTGGAATGGCTTCCGGTCAAGATAGCAAATAGACGGTCCCCAGCATCACTCTCTCCCACAAATCAACCAATTTACAACTATTAAAAAGCAACAACAGCCAAGCTGGGGCCACTAGAGCTCAGGGGAAGAGGAGGAAAGACCTACAGAGTTCATCAGTCTGGTAACGACCAAGCCACCACTGGAAGCCCCCGGTCTCCCCTGTAGGAATGAGGCCACAGGCCTCAACCACGCCCCCCTCCTTCCTGCCACCCTATTTCCTTCCCCATTCCCCTCTCAACCTCCCACCCAACTGCTCCACAACATCTTAGAATGTAAAAACAGATGGAGCTGGGGACCAACCCGTCCTCCCACAAGCAGGCAAGGAGCATACCCAAAACACCTCTTCCATGTGGGTGGTCCAACACCACCACCACAATAGCCACAGCTGCTGCAAAAGTGGCTAGATGCCACAACCACCGTGCAGATGGCCCTCCAGCTACTCGAGTGCATTGACACAAGGAAAGTCACCAGCAGAGACAAAGAAAAGACAAGGATGTCTCTCTCCACAAAGCCCATTCCAGAGTAATAGAAGAAGCATCTGCTCTACGATAATAGTGGGGACCTGAACACACCTCTCAACATTGGACAGATCATCTGGGCAACAAATTAACAGAGTGACTATTACTCTTTCCGAAGGAGAGAAGAAATCTAGGACTATCAGAGGTGGGAGGGGGGAGATTGAGGGGGATAGGGAGAGATTGGACAAGGGGCATAAAGAATAAGTATGATTTGTACTAATATATATGCTAATAATAAATCAACATATGTCAATGTTGAACCCCCAAAATATGTATAATCAATTACAATTCAATAAAAAAAAAGTTTGTGGAAAAATGGAATTAAAAGATAACATGAACCTTTCTTTCCATGAACTTTTTGAGGTACTGTCATATTTCTGCTTATTATTTTTGATAAAATAATAAAAGCTTTTAAGCTTATAGCCTCTCCGTGAGGCTCACAATATTTTATCACCTCTTCCTCAGGCACAGAGAAAAGTATCAATGAGTCAGGAGTCTAACCATGGGGACCTATTTATTTTTCAGTATCTATCAGTTCCTTCATATTGCCCCCAAAATATGCAATTAATTAAAACAAAATTTGACACAGAGCTAGATAGTTTGAGTTTGGGTTTCATTACAAGCTCCACGGGGAGGTTCTCTGGGTGAGCACAGTAGGGGCACCTCATAGTTTTAGGTCTTCTGCTTTTTAGGCTGATGCTTTGCCCACTCTGACACCCTCGTGGGTGCAGAAAGGGAGCAAAAGCAGCAGCTGTTGCATCCGGCAATTGCCACTAAACAACAAAAATGTGACTGTCAACTATTAGGAAGTGAAGAAAAAATACCTATACATATATATTTAGTTTTGTAAAATATATGTTTTTTTTTGTTTTGTCTTGTTTTGGTTTTTTGTCCTTTTTTTTTTTTTTTTCCTTTTTGTCTTTTTTCGTGACCGGTAACGGGATCGCAACCCTTGGTGTCGCGCCCACACCACGCTTAACCAGTGAGCGGACCGGTCTCTATATGGGATCCGAACCCTCGGCGGGAACACAACTGCACTCCCAGCGCTGCACTCTCCCAAGTGCGCCACTGGCCCGGCCCAAAATATTTGTATTTTAATAAATACATACTGGCAAGAAGTCCAGTGTGAACACGTACAACACTTTTGTAAATCCAGAAACACATCATACATGCTCACCACACATAAGGCAACATATAAACCAAAGCTATAAGAAATTCTCTCACAAACCTAAGTTTTTCAACCAGTATAAGTTTGATCCCCAGACTAGTACTAACATCAAGTTATTTAAGTAAAAAGGAAAATCACCAGTTTCTTTTTCTATTTACCATTGGTGGCTGGGGCTGGGGGTGATACATAAGGTGGGCGCAAGGAAGCACAGACACACTTTATATACATTTATTTATGTTTTTCCTAGGGAAAATCTAATTGCAGAGAAATCCCGGTATAGATTTTACACATTAGTTCAAAGTTACGGACTGCAAGAGCAGATCCCCCAGCTATCAGAAAGACAGTGTGACTTACTTGCACGCGTAGTTGTCTACCGCTTCGATGTACATGCACACACCGTCGTGGAGGCAGTACCCGTCATGTGATGGGGGACACTCCGGGTAACTATTTCTGACAGGATAGCGACCATCTTCCCCAAGGAGAGAGGGTGGAGTAGAGTCTAGAAGAATCGAAGATACTACTTTTATTTTCTGAAGTGATCGGGGTCTTTCAGATATCAATATCAGTAACTAATTTCCGTGAACAATTTTTGATATAATGTCTTTTAGTGACTGTAGAACTAATAAGAGTGACCACAGTTTCACTTGCCAAACCAAACTTTGTGTCATTCACCATGAAACCAGCCATTCTTTAGGCTCAGTATTATCTGATACAAAGCATATTGGAGGCAGAGATTGGCCAACCCTAAGTTACCATATGAATTCAGAGTCACTGATCTCATTATGAAAGCAAATCTGTCATCCACAAACATACACTAACCACGTGAAATGACAGTTAGTTTTAAATTCTCACTAAACAACCAGAATCTCTGAATGGCTTCAAAACTACCTGCCAATGCACAGTCCATGACCCCCAATATCCTGGGAGCCTCAAACATGCTTCTCCTAAAAACTATTTAACTTGTCTCAAAGACAAGACTGTAGCAACTTTGACAAGAAGGAAACGTTCCGTAACACAGGGAATGTCAAAGTGGTAAACTCTCTTCTATTGAATGGTTCGCTGCTCCTTAAATGGAAAACATCAGGATGTGTAGTTGACTATATAAATATTAGCAGTTTTTCAATACCTTTAAGAAGAGCAAATTATTTGAGGAAAATAACACGCTGAAAAAACAGAGACCAAGCAAGCACAGAACTTCCCTCTCTTAGGATGTTTCCTGCTTGCAGAGCTAAGAGAAGCAACCAGCTGGCAGTGACAGGAAAGGGCCCCATCCTGGATTCCAGGGTCTGGGTGAAGTCAGCTCCCCTTCCGGGGTGCTAATGGTGAGAAAATACTGCTGTTATGGGGAGAAGGTTCCGGAAGCAGAAGTTGATCATTAGGAATGTTTAAAAAGAAAGAGCTGGAATTCTCATTCACATCAAGAAATAATGACTTTTTAAAGTAACATTTTAAAATCCTTGAGAAGGATTTAAAATGCTAAGAGTTCAGATATTCTCACCAACCTGCCCAGCCCTGTAAAGTTTTTCCAGCAGCCTCGAAATCAACATTACAAATCGAGAGATTTGTTGCTTTGTTAAAGAGAACCACCTGTGTTCCCACCTTTATTGAATTGTGACTAATGAAAAAGGATTTATTCCAGATACTGTTAAATTAAGAAAACTTGGACCATTTCAAATTCTCAAGCCCAGCATCAACCTAATCAGGAAAGCCAGCTCTCCAACCTGATTGAACGGAATGATTTCCAGAATCTCTAATGCAAATACAGTGGGGTACAGAATTCCCCTGAACCAAGCCCCTCCCCTTCAATCTAGGAAACCCACCAACCTAAAGGGCAAATCGGTCCGGGTTCAGACAGGCTGCCGGCACACGTGCAGGTGTAGCCTCCCTCCGTGTTTGTGCAGTTGGCATTCTCTCCGCAGCTGTGCAGCCCCAGGTGGCACTCATCGATGTCTGTTAGAAAATAGGAGTAGGGAAGAGAAAATGGGGCACAGAGGCAGAAAGAGGGTTACAATTGGATAGCCCAACATTCTGGAAAGGGAGCATCTTCAGTTTCTGTCATGCTGCATGTTCTCAGAGCCCTACACACTTTTAGGTTTAAAGATCCTATTATGAACATCGGAGAGAGATGAACGGAGAGATGAAGCGGCTCCCTCGGCTGCATGCCCATTCAGGTGTTCTAAGCTCCTGACAGAAGGCTGGAAGTTTCCTCTGCTTGGAAGGAAAGGAGAGTTCCCAGGGTTGGTGATTGGTAAACTACCTCTAGACAAATGTTTAGAGGTTCAGATCCTAAAGATTCATGCTTAACTTTTGCAAATAGACATCCAGTCATTGACATACATGTTATAGCAAATACATTATTGCTTTTTGTACATAAATATGAACTATGAACTAAGTAAGTCATCCTTTCTCTTCCAACTACCCACCTTTTTCTTTCTTAGCTATTACCACTCTAACATTTAAGTTCTTCCTTCCTCTTAATTTTATATTACTACAAGAACAGCCTTACTACATTCCTGCAAGCCATGTCTCCTCCTCTGCACTGCTAAACACCAGTGCCAGATTATCCTCCCTTACACCACAATGAGATCAACCCATCCTTGCACCCTTGACTCAAATGCTGCCAGTGGCTCTCTGTGGCCTAGAGTTGTGCTGTCCAATGTGGTGGCCATCACCATATGTGCATACTGAGCAACTGCAAGGCATCTAGTCCACACTGAGATGCGCTGTGAGTGAAAACCACACACCAGATTCTGAAGACTTAGTGACCAAATAAAAAAGAATATAAAATATCTTAATTTTTATACTGGTCACATATTAAAAATTTAGTATTCCGGATATATTAGAACAAATAAAGTACATTATTAAAATTAATTTCACCTGTTTCTTTTTACATTTTGTAACGTGGCTACTAGAAAATGTACAACAGCGCTGGCCTAGAGAAGTAAAACCCAGTGACCGATCCCCAGTTTCTATCCTTCCACGAATGTAACCCAATCCATCTACTAGAGTCTGAATTGTGTCCCCCCAAAAATTCACGTTAAAGTCTAGTGCCCCATGTGACTGTATTTGGAGATAGGGTCTATAAGGAAGTAATAAAGGTTAAATGAAGTCATAAGAGTTGGGTCCTAATCCCATAAGACTGGTGTCCTTAAATGAAGAGGAAGAGACACCAGAGCTCTCTCACTTTCTCTCTATGCGCACAGAGGAAAGGCCAGGTGAAAACACACTGAGAAGGGAGCGTCTGCAAGCCAGGAAGAAATCCTTCACCAGAAACCAAATCAGCCAAGTCAATCCTCGATCTGGGACTTCCAGCTGCCAGAAATGTGAGAAAATTAATTTCTGTTGTTTAAGCCACCCAGTCTATGGTATTTTGTTAAGGCACACACCATCTTACCAACCTCAGTTCCTGTTATCCCCCCACAAATAATCTGTACTTAGTGCTCAACTAGGTTATTCCCTATCCCCCAAATAAGATGTGCAACTGGTCATGCCCGGAGTACTCCCGCCTCTTCGCATATCTGCCAAACAAAAATTTACCCATCCCCGTGGTCCTTCCAAAATGATACTTCCTCATGACATCTTTCCTAGTACCTTAAACAGATACTTCTCCCAGTTCTAAACTTTCATTATGTTTTTTACTTCTCTTATGATGTGTACTCTTTTTTCCCACTTACCACAGCTGTATTTCTTTTAGACCATGTTCTCCTTGCAAGCAAGGACTGCCTTCCTCATGCTGGTATTCCTCACAGTTCCTAATGCTTGTGCCTTGCACCTAATCAAATGTCTATCACACTGAATTGCTATCTTGAATGACCCAGATTGACTTTTTTTTGACTTCCTGTTATAATCTCAATGAACTATCACCTTGAAAGAGAGAGGGAGAGCTTTTCAAACAAGCAAAAACAAAGATGTAGTCTTATCCAAGACACACAACTACTCTTAGTAATAATAAGAATAACAACACTTTTCTGTAACACTTATTGTGTGCCAGGCATGATTCAAAGCATTTGATCTACATATACATATATATATACAGGGAGAGACAGAGAGAGAGAGAAAGGGCAGGGAAGGGGAGACAGAGAAGGAAGGTGGGAGAACAGGAAAGCCCACTGTTTCCAGAGGGCTTGAAGACTCCAGTCCAACCAGGCAGGCAGGGCATGGCACCCCATTGCACATTCGATACTGGAAGGAGGCAAGTTAGTAACAGAGTGAGAATCCAGAGTCTAATGAGTTTAAACATCCAAGAAAAGATACCTTCCTTTCTCTTCAAAGGAAATTAAATATGAAGTCTGTTTGTCTAAATTATCTATGAGCATGCTTAATTAGTGCAGTGACATTTTCCTGACTGACAGCTAAATATGTGCTTAAAAGAGAATTTACAGATGTCTGTGGACTCCACAAAACTAATCTGATAAAGGTTTGATTTAAACCAACCAGATCCAGGAAATTGATAGTTATGACTGATATTTCATCTTTAATCTTAAATATATGGGAAAAAGCAGCAGCATGTGAGTTTCTTATCAGGGCATCTGCCCCTCACCTTGAAAAGATCTTTTTGTTTTCAGAAGGAAAAGAAAATACAGAAAGAGAAATTGCAAAGCTCTTTAAAGCTTTAGGTAACCACCTCCCGAGGCCGTGGATGGCTTCAAGCAGGTCTTCGCTTGTATGCTGATGCTATGCTACTGACACCTGGAAAGGTACACGACCCCCCCCCCAAGTGAACTCCAAGCCAACGCCACACCCAGGCCTTGGCAGAGGATGGCAATTAGGAAAGAGGTTTCAATCATCCTTACCTGAAGCTGAGTGTCAGTGTCTTGACTCCTGCCACTGAACCTATCAAGAAATACCCGGGAGCCCTCTGCACAGACACACCTCCTTTCCTCCGTGCTCGCAGCAGCACCTCCCAGCAAGCTCTCAGCAGCTCTGCACTTCACCACGTTCCAGTTGCCAAATTCGTGACAAAGAAATGCTGTCCAATCCGCCCCACGATGGCTCCAGGTATGGAGGACTGATAAGACACTGGTGTCACTCAACCCCCCAAGAAAGCACCAGAAAGGCAGAGGGGCTTGAAGCTGACTAGTGCATTAATAGCACAAGGGCACAAACTTGACTATTTACCGAAAACTAAAATAGGTCACTTTGAACAGATCGCACAACTCCTTTTTCAGTCTTGACATGTGTGTCATCCCAACTATTTCCTGTCTTCTCTTGGCCTGCCACACCAATGTATCTCCTGGTTATCCAAGACCCACCTCCATCCCTCTCCCTTGCACACACACTTACTTACCAAGGCAGTGAATCCCATCTCCCTGAAAGCCTTCTGAGCACTGGCAGACGTAGCCTCCTTCAGTATTAATGCACTTGGAGGAGGTGGGAGGGCACACTGGGATACCCATCTCACATTCATCTATATCTGTGGGCAAAATATGAACTAGTGAAATAATTAACAAATGGGAATAGTAAGAATGAATAAGCGTAATCTTACATTCAATCATTCAGCTGTTTACAAGAACTGTTTTCAAATGTTACGCAAGTTCTGCATCTAGGATGTAGAATTTACTTCTGAATCAACTTTTACTGAGTTTCCACCCATCCAATTAGCTAAGTATGTGTAAATAAATTGTGTTGTGCCAGAGTTTCAGACCATAAGGTCTGAGATCTTTCCCGTAATCACTAACATAATTTTGAGGCTATTAATATAAAATAGGAAACTGTCCATCATAACCTATTTATTTGACTAAAACTTATGGCCTAAGCTTCTGGGGAAAAAAAAAAGTTGTGTTTTCATCGGAACCGGTGAATCACGAATTTGACTTGAACTCAAATTCATGCTTCTGAAGCTAATTATAAATTCTTCTCCTAATGTCAACTGCATATATTGTATAATTTTAATATAAAATTATATTATATGTAAATAAATATAAAACTATATTATAAATATAATATAAATATAATATTATATGTAAATATTTCATATGTCTCATTTTCTATGCATGTCATCCATTATTACTAACATCAAATAACTTAATCAAACCTGCTGATTAGATCAATTGCTCTGCAGATCTTGAGTCAGAAAGACCAGAAAGATGGGGCCGGCCCGGTGGCGCACTGCTACAGTGCGCCGCTTGGGAGTGCGGTGGCGCTCCTGCCGAGGGTTCGGATCCCACATACAGACCAGTTCCCGCTCACTGGCTGAGCAAGGGGCGGGCGCAGCACCGAGGGTTGCGATCCCATTGCCGGTCCCGGTCCGGTACGGGCGCGACACTGAGGGTTGTGGTGCGTTGTCGGACACGAAAAAAGACAAAAAAAGGAAAAAAAAAAAAAAAGGAAGACCAGAAAGAATGTTTCTACTTTACTATTTTTCCAAATATGTGTGTTTGGACTTTGCTCTTACCAGAACATAGATTTCCATCCCCAGCAAATCCTTCCAAACACTGACAGGTGGCATCCTCCCCCTCGGGAACACACTGAGCATGCGTGCTGCATCCCACGGGACCACAGTCATCTTGTTCTGCAAACAGCGAGAACCCCATGTGATTACTTCCAGACCTTAGGGAAGAATATGGACTTTAATATTCTGGGTTCTACAGAACATCCCAGCCTTTATTTCCCAAATTCTAGGACAGGTTAACCTCCAAATAGAAATACTTTGTTGACCTGTAAGCTATATCTATATGAAAAGATTCATAAATCATATTTTCCTGTCTACATGCTTTTAACAAACTTTAGTATTAAAGAACTATTCAGTGTTCAAAGAGCACTGTGTGAACTTATTTACAATTTTTAAAAAGCAAATTTGAACTATGAAATTGCTAGGTGTGAATAGATTCAAATTTCAAAAGGTTTATTGTTTACCTGAAAATTCAAAAAGAGTTGGTCTATTCTTATCCCTAAAAAACAGACTACTATGCAGCAAGTACATCTGTGCACCAACACGGCAAAGAAATACAATCATAAAAAGATTTATTGTCAATTTATTAATATAATGTTTCATATATAATAGAATATGTATGTCACAATGTGTGTTTATTATAAGATTTATGCAGTGACTTGCAAACCTCAAGGCACTTTTACAAAATCATGAACCATACAAGTTAAATGCTGTAAATGGATCATTTCATACTTCATTGAAATGCAAATGCCTCAGGGGACAGAGTTACATGTTGAGCCATAAACATGAGCAAGGTTTGTCTCTTTTTTTTTTTTCTTTTTCTTTAACTACTTATGTGTACAATCATTCTCTAAATGCCACCCAACCCTGACTTTTTTGGAGTTGAGGGAATCTGACATACCACAGTATGATGTAAACTATCATCTGTCTATTCATTGGTAAATTTGCTCATCTGAGTACAGAAGAGACAAAAGAAGCCCTCCAAACTTGTCCATAAATTAAGGAAGGTTAAATGAGCTGAGCAGAATTCAGGTGCCATGTGAATGCAGACATTGGATAATTGCACTTGATTTGCTTAGCTACTTGAGTGAGAAGATTTCTCTTGTGGGAACACATGGCTTTCATGCTTGCTTGGTCATCTCCTGTCACTCATGACTCTTAGAGATGGATAAGTTCAGACTAAATCAATTATGCATTTGATTCAGCATTTATTTGGAAGACTAGCTCCCAAATCACAAGGCTGCTCAGAGCATAGGATGGACAGTATCCAATTACCCAAGACATTTTAAATCATTTGCAGAATTATCTTAAATTAGAATATGACTCAGGATTTGTTTGGTAACTTGCAAACCCCAAGGCAGCTTTGCATAATGAAAAGCAATGGCTATAGGAGGGATGGGCTGGAGCCAAAATTCTTCCTGCCACAAACTAGCCCTGGAAGGAATGCCTTCACTCGCATTCCTCTTCTCTAAACTACGGGTGACAATTTCTGCCAGGTCAATTTCCTTTGAGAATTAAAAGTACTCTAAAAAAAAAAAAGTACTCTCAAAAAAAATTCCTTTGAGAATTAAAAGTACTCTACATATTTAAATAAGGGTGATAAATAAGAAGGGTATTGTGACAACCTGAATAAGAATTAACCTTATCACACTAGAAGACTCTGGGCCCTATGAGCAAAATTAGTAAAATTCATTAAAAAAGACTGACTCTACACCAGGCCTTACTGAAGACCAAAAATATAGTGGGGAAGAATACAGATAAGGGCTCCGCTGTCTTGCATAATTAATTATTGAAATTCAAGTGCAAAAAGGACTATCAAGGCATAGTACCAGGGTTCTAAGAGAGCTGTAAGAGGCAGCCTCACCTGGTCAGAAAACTGGAAAGGCTTTCTGAGTAAGAGATCTGAAGGGTTCACAGAACTCGGAGAGGTGAGAAAGAGCACTGTGGACTGGGAACACACAATCTGTATGTTGCTGATAAGGCCTGTGTGACTGAAGCAGGCCACAGACAGCCAAGGACAGAAGGTCTGGTGAGCTCTCATTGAGGATGGTGAGACCTCTAAGGGCAGGCTGGACAGAGACCGACAGGCCGCTTTAAGAATTTTAGACTTTATTCTAAATCCTAATGTGGAGTTTTCAAACTTTTTTTTAGTCATAGACACTTTGTTGACATGAAATCTTACTCTGAAACATGAATAAGACATCTTAGCTTAACCTGGATGGAACTAATACTTCATACACTAGAACAAAATGAAAAACAATCCAGGTATAGAAAGGTAAGGTATTTTTCACCAAGACAATCAGTTCCATATATTCTGCACTAGGCAGATTATAGTGTCCAGGTGTGAAGCCAAACACAGCCTGCTACATGTGTATTCACAAATCTCTGGTCACTTCATCCCTCCCTCATTCCCACCCATGTGTCATTTATCTTAGTCTGTGAGTCCCTCAAACATTACTCTTTCAAAATATGCTCTATTAACCTCTAAGGATTCCCTGGTGACTTTGAAAAGGTTCTCTATACTACTAATATTGACTGATAGTGTTTTATTCCATCACATTGATTGTCTTCACATCAGACTGTGACCTTGCGGACTGGGACTATATTTAGCTCATCTTGAAATTCCCAGCACTTAGCACAGTGGAGGCCAAGTGAATTGCTGCATAAATAATATTTCTAGTATGACAAAGTTTTCCAGTACCTCTTATTTTAGCATGAATTAATTATTTGGTCATAATTTTCAAAAACCTTTGGTCAAGTCATTCAAGTCATTAGCTTAATCTACCTTAGTTTCAGTTTTTGCATCTGAAAAATGGTGGGTTGCAGTAAGGATAAAATTAGACATGTATTAGTATGTGGTAAACTTTAAATTAGTATGTGGTAAACTTTAAATCACCACACAAATGTTAGTTATCACAATTACTAAAAATGTGCACCTTTTTATTTATATCTTATCAATAAACACACCAATAAGGTGGAATAAGAGGTCCCCAGAACCCTGTACATCAACAACGTAGTCTGCAGACAAACCACAAAAGTTGGGTGAAGCATTTTCTTGAATGTCGTAATGTGGAGTTTTCAAACTTTTTTTTTTAAGCCATAGATGTTTTGTTAAAATAAAACGTTTCTCAGTAATATAAACAAATAAAATGTTTTAAAGTGGAGCTGCACTGATTGAAGGGCAGTGACCTAGAGCGAAGAAGGGTTGGAGTCTGCAGAAGCTCCAGTACTGAGTAAGCCTCATGAGTGAATACAGAACATAAAAGACTTAGGTTCCCTAAAGTTGTTACATACTAAAAAATTACTTGGCATTTTGTTGATAAATGTGCAATATAGAAGAAAAGAATTTTAACATTTGTTGTTTATGGACTTTCTGCAGCAGTTGAAGCAATCCACCTATATTTGCTTATCAATTACTGTCAACATTTTTTTTTTTTTTGGCAGCTGGCCAGTACAGGGATATGAACCCGTGACCTCCATGTCATAATGCTGTGCTCTTACCAACTGAGTTAACTGGCAAACCCTGTCAATTTTTCACACCAATGAAAGTATAGCTAGATGGGCCAAATACACAAAATACTAGGTGTGGATGGGGATACGCTCAAAACTATTGTCTTATTTTTCACCTTTGTTTTCAAGTTATATGAGGGTACTTTGAAAAGTTCATGGAAAGATTTGTATTATCCTTCAATCATATTTTCCTATGAACTTTTTGAAGTACCCTTGTATTTCTTAAAAGAACATTCAGTCCAAAGACTCAATGTGTACAGTTCACATCCAGTCTAATATGGAGCCATCTGCCCCAGGCACACCACTCAGAAGAGAGGAATAACTTGAGTCCAAGGCTGGGCCTCATTAGCATTGTGTAGATGTAACCAACATTAGGAGAGAGAATTCAGAATTTCTCATTGGTAGGATGGAAATTATTAAAACCAGAGCTGTATTGGAGAACTCATTATTCATACCTGACACCATGATTTCAGCCACTAGCATGTGTTGAGATTCTGTGGTGTTATCTTCTGACGCTCCGGTCTTGGATAAGGTGTCCCACGGTGTTACTTGGTTACTTAGATCAGCTTCATTACCTACTGAAGGTCAATAGATGCAATTAATTTAGCTTTTCTGTTTTAAGGAAAGTTTGATTTACTTTATATTTATGGCTATTCACCAGTTGTGAGTTTAGACTCATTCTTACAGTAAGAGGATTCAGGAAACTGGCAGGGTCTTGGTGGCTCAGAAAACCACATCCTGCTATCCCACGTGCTCCCAGTTTCACTCAGTGCACTTGATGGTTTGGGGGGCAGGGAGCCAGTGGGGAAGAAAGACAAGACTCTTTTTGGTACTAGCAAAAAACAACAAGAGTAAAATACCAACATCCTTATGAACAAAATCAGCTCATAATCAGCCCACCATTACTAAGGACGAATTAGTGAGATGATCTACCCAACCTGTCTTCCATACACATTCTTCCTTTAGGTGGTTTCATGCTTATTTTAGCCTGATTTTACCTGCATTTTAGAATATGAAACGACATAAGCCATGATTTAATACATGCACCACCATCCACCCCATCCCCCATCCAGAACATGGGAGAAATGGACTCTCTGACAGTATTTCTTTAAATTGTGTTCTACAGATCCCTGCAGGCCCACTGCATAGAGTCCACAAGGTAAATACTCTTTCTGTAATAATACTGTGATATTTACCTCTTTTCCCTGTGTTCACATTCATACTGGTATAGCAAAAGCAATGGTGGGTAAAACTGCTAGTGCCTTAGCATAAATCGAGGCAAAGACACCAAACTCTACCAGTGGTTGTGCTCTTCACCACCACGCACACACATTAAAAATCCAGTTTCACCAGAAGATCATGATGAAGCAATAAGGATTATTAATTTTTAAAACTCTCAACCATTGACTACATGGCTTTTAGATATTCTATGGAATAAAATGGAAAATACACATAAAACACTACCAGGGCTCAAAGAAGTTATGTTGGTTACATGGAGGAAAAGCACATAAGCAATTTTTGAACTGCAAGCTGAAATTGGCCCATTGTTTTAATTGAACATGATTTTTTGTTTGAAAAATTGAATGACAGACAAACTGTGCTGTTAGGAACTGGGTATTTGGCATGCATTTTCTCAAACATGAATAAAATGAGCCTGTCCTTCAAGGAAAACTGTCAGTATTTGTTGCTGATGTCAGATTCCACATTACAGCTAAGCTTAGGAAAGTACTGCCTGTCCAGTTCTGACACAGTATCAAAAGAGCAGTACCTGAAAAAGGCATTTCAAAAGGTTATTAAATAATAGTCCCTTTTCAACTCCATGTCTGTAGGAGGCCAGATTTTCTTCATTGATGTCAATAGAAACAACACATAACAGATTTAACATAGAAGTATATATGAGAATCCAGCTGTCCTCTATTAAGCAAGACAAAGCTATAAATGTAAAACAACACCACTCTTCTCACTATATATTTTTTGCTTTGGAAAATATACTTATATCAGTTATTCTAATAAAAATATGTTATATTATAGATAGTGGATTTATTGTAATTTTAACAGAGATTTAAACATTTTTGTTCTAATCTTTAATATAAATATTTAAAGATATAATCCACATAAGCAAAAAATCTATGAGATTCTCAATAATTTTTTAAGAGTGTAAAGGGGTCCTGAGACCAAGGGGGTTGAAACTATTGTCCTAAGGCAACAAATTAACAGAAAATTCTGAAAATCCAAAATATCCAACTCCGGTCCATGGATAGATCAATTCACTTATTTGTTGTCAATCTGTCACCTATCTTATATTTGTATCATGCCTGTCTGATAAATATAATTTTTTAAAAAGATTTTAATAAAATTTAAATGATCTTTGGTACATTTTTGGTGTAAAGACATCAAGAGATGAATCCAAGTGTGCCTAAATTGTTTGGGTTCACATTCAAGGGAGGGAAATCATTGCTCCTGGGTACATATCACACCTGGAATACTCTTTCTTCCTCTTCCTCCAAGTCACATTTACTTCGTGAGAAAGTGGATCACAAGACTTTTCAGGTTGCATTTCCACACTTGTTTAATATCCTAAAGTTATTTTTTATAAAGGACTGGGCTTTTCACATTAAGACATGTCCTATGGTAGGGGAATTATGTATTACTACCTCTAAAATTCAGGACATAAAACTTCTAAAAAAAAAAATCTCTAAACATGTTTGTGAGGTGATAAAATGCTGGCATTTGTTTCCAAGCCTGGATTCATTCCATTGTAAATGGGAGCGTGAGGGGACTGGCGCTTAAGACTTTTACAATTAGAGGTCAATTTAGTCTGCAACAGGAACCTAAAACTCATCAGAGGAAAAAGCAAAACAAACTCAGCATTCCTAAAAACAGGGGAATTTTTTGTAATACAAAATATTAAAATATCAGCAAAAGCATAGGGGTGGATGTACAAATATATTCCTGAGCCAAGAAAAGATAATTTAGTGACATAATTTATTGTATTACCTGCCGGTATCTGATGACCATTCAGAGCCAGACACATTTTCCCATCTGGGGCTTTTATAAAACCTTCACGACAAGAACACGAAGCAGTGCCAAACCTCTCTTTGCAAATATGTTCACAGCCTCCATTTTGATATAGGCAGGGATTTGCTCCTAGTGGAGAAAAGAGGCAAATTCACAGACACGTTTGGAGATGAAAAGGGTCTTATTGATGCAAATCACAGTCTACAGCCTTTGGGGAGAGCAACTCAGTGTATCTGAACAGAGGGTGCGTCAAGAGCCATTTCAGAAGCATTCCCATAAGGAGCCGCTGCTTCTTAGAGAAGCTCAGAATGTTATTAACTTATGAGTATTTATTGAGTATAGCTAGTGCTTTTGTTCAAGAAGCTCTTTAGTCAGATGTGATTCCTATTTCCCGACTCATAATGTCATCTAGGCAAACTGACAAAGGGCGATTCAGAAAGAAGAGCGAGGCAGGATGCTGGATGCCTTCTCACCTGCTCACTGCTGCTGACCTCACTCGCCGGTACTCTCAGGGGCGGGGAGAGGCCCAAGGATAGCAGAAGATCCCACTACACGTATCTAAACTTTCTGCCCTTGGTGCTTTAACCCAAAAGTCTTTGAAATGTAGCAGGAAAGTAAAAGAAAAGATGAAATTAGAGGGATAAAGCATAAATTACCAAAATTGCCTAATTGGGGATAAAGCCTAAATGACCAAGTCCAAATCCTAGAAAAAAATCTTAATATTCACACGGATTATTGACAATTGCAAACTCCCCCCCACCCCACACACACACCCTCTGTCTGCCATCAAACAATTAAGACGCTGGTTCCATCCAAGGAAATACTGCTTAACATCTCCAGTGTACCTGGTTTTGCCAACGGATGAACCACAACCAGTGATGAGGGCTTCAGCATGCTGCCTTGGAGACGTACCCTATTTTTGCCAGTCCTCTTGTTCACCCTTATTACCGCTGGCGTAGCCCAATCCGAGAACCACACGTGATCCTCAAACACAGCTACTGCAAATGGGTGACCTGGAAGCAATTCAAATCCATTAAATACACACCTTCATTGTTTTGCAATGCATATCTCAAAGGGTCAAAGCTTGAAACTCACACACGATTCCTACACTAAATCAATTCTTTACCATAGCTGCTCAGCAGGGTGCAAGCCACTGACCTACATCAAGCATCAAGGAGAACCCACATGACAAGGGATCCTCATCTTACAATGGGAACCTGGTGGCATGAGGTCCTAGCAAAGCCCATCATCACCAAACATTCAGAGAGTGGAAGAATGTGGGCTGATTGTCTTAATAGCACCAGGAAGGAGGCCAAGGCGGGAATTTTCTGAGTTCACTAGACCTGTCACTGTTTAGAGACTACACTTGAGTAAGTTATTTTACTGCTGTTTGCCTTAGGTTCCTCGTCTTTGCATGGCAGTAATAAGCAGTAGACCAAACCCACAGAGGATTGCAAGGATTTTTTTAAATTTGAGGTGATTGAATACGAGTCTCCCCAAATTCCCATCTCCACCAACACATTTCCCTGCATTAACCTCGAACCTCCTTCTCCTCTCTCCAATCTAGTATTAGTCCATTGACCTGTATCCTCGATGTCACCCTTGCTGCCTTCTCTCCATCCTTGATCTGTCAACAATCACCTGTTTCTCTTATATCTAGCTTTCCCCCTCCATCTATTGATATCCTCTCTCCCATGTTAATTTCCTCATCCCCTTGACCTCTCCAGCTTCTCTTTGTCTCTCCTCTTCCCTTCTTAGTCAAGCTTTCCTTAGCTAAGTTTTTTGAAGTAGCCGTTTATTATCTGCCTCCAGTTTCAGGGTCCTATTGATTCCTGAACGGGCTTCCTTTGGAGCCTACCTCAACCAAACGTACCTTTCCATGCCACTGAAAATTTTCAGATAAGGTATTCAAGCATTTAATCAGCAGAGAAATATACTAACAAAACATTAATATACAATCTCAAGCACATAGAGACTAAAGCTAAGGAGCCCAAATGTGGAAGCCTTAATCACATCCACTCACATTCCCACAGGCCAGTCTTTTAGCAAAGGAACAATGGATTTGATGGATTAGAATGAATGTCTCCCTCTACTGGCAGCAAACTCTAATGACTACTCTGGTGACAATGCGTTTTTGACAAGGGTCATTAAGAGTCATTTCAGCCTCTAGACCCTTTGTCCCAAATTAAATCTGTAAATAATCAAGGGAATTTTTTTACACAGCTCTATTTCTTTTCACTGTGGTAAAAAACGCATAAAACAAAATTTACCATCTTAACCATTTCTGAGTATACAGTTCAGTAGTGTTAAGTACATTCATACATCGTTGTGAAACCAATCTCCAGAACTTTTTCATCTTGCAAATCTGAAACTCTATACCCATAAAATAACTCCCACTTCCCTCTGTCCCAGCCCCTGGCAACTACTATTCCACTTTCTCTTTCTATAAATTTGACTACTCTAGATACCTCAAATAAGTAGAATTGTACATATTTGTATTTTTTGTGGCTGGCTTATTCCACTTAGCATAAGGTCCTCAAGGTTCGCCCAGGTTGAAACACATGTTAGAATTGGTTACAGTGTTTCAACAAACAAATACCCACATTAGACAGCTCTATTTTTTGGTTTATGGAAGAGCCACAATTAACTGCATTTTAAAATTAAGAATGAATTCCTCCAATCTTTAAGTTAAAAATCCTGAACTGGAAGTTTAGAAGCCACCACATATATACCAGTAGATGGCACTGTAATGATGGAAATGGTTATATAGATAATTTAATATAAAACTATTTCAAAATGGCCTTCAATAGGATGGTGCGTTAGTCATAGATTACAGTAGCAATACAGATTATTCACAAAATATCTGCTATGCTTTTTGGCATAGAATATGGTATCTTTAACTTCTAGTCAGGAATTTTCAAATCCCTTTCTTTTTAAAAATTTTTATCTATTTTTGATTGTACATATTTGTGGGGCACAGTGTGTTGTTTCAGTACATACATATATAATGATTCACCTGGAGTACATAGCATATGCATCACCTAAACGTTTATCTTTCATCATGATAATTATGGTCAAGATCCTCTTTTCTAGCTATTTAGAAATATACAATATAATATTAGCTATAGTCAGCCTAGAACACCAGAACTTAATCTTGGCCATGCCCCCTGACACCCACAACCAGCCCAGCAACAACCACCGAGCCACTGCAGGAAGTGCCCCGGACTCTCCCAAGCTGGGGTGGTGGGAGGCCAAGGGCTTTTTCCACATTCCGCTGACATCTGCACCCAGCCTGGCAATGGCCAAGCCAGCAGTGGAAGCCCTCTGGTCTCCCCTGTGGGAATGAAGGGGGTGCCACAGGCCTCAATCCCGCCCCTCCTCCTTCCTCCTTCTTCCATCCCATTCCCTTACCCTTTCCTTTCTACCCCTCCCCCTCCCAACTGCTTTGCGACATCATAGAATACAAAAAAATAATATTAATAAAAAATAAAAATAAAAAATACATACATATACTGTATAATGATTCACTTAGAGTAGATAGCATATCCATCACCTAAACATTTATCTTTCTTTGTGATGATTATGGTCAAGATCCTCTTTTCTAGCTATTTAGAAGTACAATATATTATTAGCTATAGTCAGCCTAGAACACCAGAACTTATTCTTTCTAACTACCTGTAACTTTTTCAAATCCCTTTCTACCCTTTTATATTAAAGCCATAATTTACATTTATTTGGGTGCTGTATTTTTTTTTAAGAATGTATTTCTCCCTCACTAAACTCCATGACTTCACAGAAATAGTATCTGTTTTACTCTTCACTGTATCTCCATTTCCTATAATGACTAAATAAATACCCATTAAGTACCTGGATGGGTGAAGTCTAAGATTTCACACAAGTTTATCATCTATTCTGAAGTATACCTTAAACTTTTAAAGAATCTTAGAAATACATAAAATTTTATATTATGGTTATCTTGACCTATTTCACGTATAATACAAATCTAAAAATTTACTACGCCTAAAAAGAAAAAGTATGGGGAAAATAAATACCTTATTCAAATTATTAGTTTGATAGCTTCTTCCTAAAGAAGAGAAACCACATTTTTTCATCTTCCCAGTTTCTAAATCTCCAAAGCATCTTCAACATCTCTCTGGCTCTCATTTTCTTCATCCAGTCTGTTACCAAATCCTCTCAATTTTTTATCCACTGATTTTTCATCCAATGATTTTTAATACCTTAATCCTCCATTACACTTTTAAATGACAGTGTTCTAACTCAGGACTTCATTAACTATTGCCTGGAGACTGTTGTAGTCTTCTAACTGATTTCCTTCTCTCCAAATTCTAAGTCAAACTCCACTCCCTCACTTTTTTTTTTTTTTTTTTTTTGGCTGGCTCAGGACTTCATTAACTATTGCCTGGAGACTGTTGTAGTCTTCTAACTGATTTCCTTCTCTCCAAATTCTAAGTCAAACTCCACTCCCTCACTTTTTTTTTTTTTTTTTTTGGTGGCTGGCTGGTACAGGGATCTGAACACTTGACCTTGGTGTTATAACAGTGCACTCTAACCAATGAAGCTAACCAGCTAGCTTCCCAATCCTTATACTGTTACCTAAGTGATTATCCTGATATACCAATCTTATCACATATATTTCCTGTTCAAGAACATTCAATGTTTCCCTAGTAAATTCAAAATGTCAACATATCCTAGTAGTACTAACATACAATGACCAGTTTTTGCAGGCTTATAAACTTTCATACCATCTATTTACCACACGGCCCAGTTCAAATAGTCTTTGCAGATTGCCTGAGTCAAATGAATCTCCTACTGCGTATATAATCTCATTTATTTCTCTTTTAACAGTTAGCATAGGTTACGATGTTTTAAAGACATTTACAAAAATATATGACACTCCATGCAAAACCTGAAAATACAGTAGAAGAGACAACTATATTTATTAATCTTTGCACATGTTATCAACTGATATTCATTAATGCCTAAAAGTGATATTATCACTATTGTGAAATGACATTTTCTAAAACATAAAACATAATAACAGCTGGACCAAGTTCTTATACCTAAAGAAGTTTAGAAAATTTTAATATTTTCATTCTGATTTGGGGAAATTTCATAAAGAAGAAATGATTATACAACACTATTTTTTTACCTAATATTCCAATCTGAAGGTAATCCTTGTAGCTCATAATTCTCTGAAGAAGTCTGTCTGTCTCTATTCCTTTCTCACCACATGGTTAAGGGTGTGTGGGGGTGTGTGTGGGGGTGTGTGGGTGTGTGTAAATACATTTTGTATTTAACACTCATAAACACACAGTTAAGATGAAGAAATCATCCATCCCAAAGCCTCACCTACATGGTTCTGGGCAAGTCTTTGGCGTTTTGAACCATCCAGATTGGCCATTTCAATCACAGACTGCTGGACATCACACCAATACAACTTGTCAGTTAAATAATCAATCGTTATTCCACTGGGCTCAATCAGATCAGAGCTGGCTATAATCAGTCGGCCAAAGCCTTGAAGGGAAGAACTTTCAATTCGTGGATTAATCCCCGTATCAGTCCAGAATAATCTCCTTTAATCAAGAAAGCACACAACAAATAAAATCTGCATGAAAAAATTCTTCCATTCTTTCATCATAGAAAACATCAATGTGAAGTGAATTACTTCAGGATACATGAAACTGGTACACTAAGGGATATAGGAGAAAATAAAGCACTGTATGTTAGACAAATAATTTTCAAAAGCAGAACAATTATCTTACCTATGCAAAGCATCTTGGGCAAGAAATGCTAAATTAAGGTAAAGATCACCAGATAAAAAAGGAATTAGTTTAAAAAATTGTACTATGTGACTAATAGAAAGTGTGCTCTAGTGAATGTTCTTAAATTGACATTTCATGCTGCGAAATGCAATGAAATCTTACTAGCCTGTTCTTCTGTCATGCATATGTAAAACTCACTGCATATGTAAAACTACATAAAGGGAAAAGCATATTTATCTGTTATCTGCTTTTATACAATGCACTCTACTAACTCAGTTAATTTTAAGTTCCATAAATCAGGTGCTGGGCAATACCTTTTTATTGGCCTGTGTAGAGAGGGTTACGTTCTCACTGTTTTAATCATTTGACTAGCTCCAAATCAATTATCAATTACTAACAATATATTATCTCCTCTAGACCATTGTGAAGTTTCCGTCGTAAATAAAATAGGGTTGATTTTTAATCTTTGCTTTTTAACAACTAGGAAGGAATCTCCTTAATTCTCTAACCCCTAAATCAAAATTTGTCACTAATTCACAATTAACAGTACAGTCTTCTAATCTTTTATAATTTTTATTTCCTCTTGTCTAAACATAGAAATGACCTATCGTTTTAAATCACCTTATGATTTTTCTAAATAGAGTTCATCAGTCATACAACCCAAATATCCTTTTCTACTCAATAAACAACAATGTATATTTTTAAAGAAAGTAGATTAATGGGCTTAATGAATTACAGCCCACATCTTTCCAAAAAGAAATTGAATTTGCTTAAAATAAAAGGACACATTAATAATAAAATTATTATACAAGAATAGAAAATTAAAAGACATTTAGAGATGATGATTTCGTGCTAGCCACATCATGTCTCAAGATTTGAACAAATGTCATGGATATTCTTGATTTCTGATTCCACTGACCACCTGAGGTCTAAAGATAAACTTTAGACACAGCATATAAAACAGGAAGTGTCACATGACTTCTGCAGAAAGGTGCCGTATTTTCACAAATACCTACTTGGCCACTGGATGAACAGCAATTCCTCGTGGTTGAGAGATGTTCTCCTTAATGATTATTTTGCGATATTTTCCATGTAAATCACTCCCTTCAATGACAGATTTCCTAAAATGTATGTAATATGAAGGTGTTTATTATATCAACTTTATTTTTCAAACAAAAATACTCCTTTGCCCTATTCCTGAAATGCAAACATAGGCATTCTAAACTACCTCTAACCTCTCTCCCTTTCTCTCTCTCACACACATAAAGTAGCACCAAGTCCACACATTCTATTTTTTTTAAATACACTCTTTTAATTAGTTAATTAGTTAATTTATCCCAGGCGATTAACATACATAGTTAATTAGTTAATTTATCCCAGGCAATTAACATACATAGTGAGAGGATAAAGTAAGAGGGACTGTATCAGTGGCCAGGCAGAACATTCTCTTCACAACCTCCAGTCTCCTGCTGGAACCAATGGAAGCCAAAGGCAAGAGGGGGGCGGGATCGGCCTGGTGGGTCACAGATCATGGGGAGGAAGGAGACAAGACAGCATAAGGACAGTGAGGGGAGATTTATGTTTATAATTTTCTTCCATATGATTCTAAGACAAATGGGAGCACTGAGATTTTTATTTGCTAATCTTTACCTTAAAATATATATATAACCTTCTGGAATCTAGCAGGGTAGAAAATTCTTATTTCCTACTTTTTCTATTTATTTGTCAAACAAATCTTTATTATCAAACAAATATTAACTGAGTACCGACTGTGTGCCAGGGATTGGCCTAAGCATTGGAGGTACAGCAGTACAAGATCCCTGTCTCTGTCCTCGCAGAGCTCAAATTTCAACAGGAACAGAGGGAGAGAGGGGGGATTATAACACAGCACGTAAAGGTAGGAGCTGGGAACAAGGATGTAGAGAATGCAATTGGAAGACTGAGAGAGAGTGAGAGGGTGGGGAACCCAGCTGAGCAGGGGTCAGAGAAGGATTCCCCGAGGTGATGAGTCAGGATGAGAAGGCAGCCAGGCGAAGGTGGGGGTAGGTAAAGGGTACCCTAAGCAGAGGAATGTGCAGGTACAAAGTCCCAGAGACCTAAAGAATGTGGGCCAGTCAGTTTCACTTTAGAAAGTTTGCAGTGGCTTTAGTGTAGAGATGCTAAAGCAGGCATGAGATGACGGTGATGAGATAAGACAGTAGCCATTGACAGGAGGGAAGCAGGGTGTATTCAAACACTAAATGCAATTCTGTAACATCCCACCCCACTGGGGAGCTCACAGGGGCATCCAAGCAGATTCCCGGAGCAGGCAGGACAACAGGCAGAGGGGTCATGAGCAGGGCTAAGAAGAGCCTCTGTCTCCCATGCACTGCCTGCTTGCCTCATTTCCCTAAAAACCAGAGAACATAACCACCTTTAATTCATTCAACAAACATCTGTAAAGGCCTCTGCCTTGCTCTCATGGGCAATGTTTGCATGAAACAGACCTATGCAGAAACAAAGCGGGACCATTGTCTGCACACTATTTGACAAAATAGTAAGGAGACTTTCTCCAGGGGGCTTATTCAAGTCTACTTTCCAGCCACTGCATGGGAAACAGGGCTTTCTGTATTCTTCATCACAGGCTCTGTGCAGGAGAGAGGTAAAGGTAAGACTGGCTCAGTGCCTATGCTGGGTCAGGAATGTTTTGCAAACCACCAGCCCAGGGCAGAGGATAATCTGAAACCATTTATACTTTAGTGCCACCTTTAAAAGAATTTTGTTCCCAGATGAAGAGGTCATAGGAAGGATACTGCTGGGTGGAAGATATTTTTGAACTCAATGTGTCAAATTATGTCCTCACTCAGACACAACAATCATTATGCTGTTTTCCTTGGTGGGAGGGAAAGAATTGTGAGACCACTTGCTTGAGACCAGGGGAGATAAAACTGTCAGTTCTGATCTCATCATTACATCATCTCTAAGTTCTGACTGTTGGAAGGAATTGGCTGATGAGGATTGAGACGGACCTGAGCTCCTGGCTGTGGAGCTGTCCCAAGGCAGGACTGCTGGAGTTTACTCTGAAAGATCCCCAAGGTGTTCACCTAATAGTAAGTACACTTCTATTTGATTCAGCCAGAAAGCAAATCTCAAACTCCAGTGTTGGGAATGAGAAAGCAAAGACCAGCAGGGACATTAGGTTCACATGAGTTCACGCATAACCCCTAATCTAGTGCAGTGTCCTCCTTAAAATCCATCATCTAATTGGTCTCAATGTCATTGGGATCCTCCAAGAGGAAAACCCACCCTACTTCCAGAGTAAGAGTCATCAATCAAGAACCCTACAAGAGTGACTTTTATCCTACGGTAGTTCTTGTTACCTAAAAAGAATGAATGAACAGATCCATTTTTACTCTCTTGATTCTTTTTTACTGTGCGATAGACTTAGCTGGACTCCTTAATACTAAGTAATAGCATTGCCAGTGGAATTATCAATGTTTACTTCCTACAGTTAGATGTCAATCTGAATCTGTCTTTTCTGGGGCCAATGCTGACTGTAACTATCCTACTGTGGCTCTTGTAGTTGGTTAAGAGTTACCATGTAATCTAGTATCATGAGATTGGAATCTCAGTCATTTAAATCCGATTTCTACCTAATATAAAGGTTTTCAAACAATAAACCTCTCATTTCCAGACAAATTAAAGGTTCTCTTTTAGCAGCTGCTGTTAGAGGGCAGAGGACTTAAGAAAGGATTGTTATTATAATGTCAATGAACTAGGGAATTTGAGGTCTGACTCTCCAGGATACGGTGGTGCCTGTCTCCTGAAGGCATCACCTCTGCAGTAGGTACTACGGTGTTATTAATCAAACACTGTTAAGATTAGAGGTGCCTTGCAAGTGTGGGGAAATAGACCAGGCATCCTTAGAGGGCCCAAGAGCAGTTGACATCTGCTGTGCTGATCAACGTTTACTCTTATGAGAACAGCCACGTACCAGCTCTGTTATTATACACAGCCAGCATTTAAAATACCCTTTAAAGTAGTTTCGAATACAGACGAGGCTGTTATTATGATTTGAATAATTATTACAAGTGAAGTTGATTTCCATTTGTTGCATGACTCTGGGTGGAGCACATTTTAAGTCAGCTCTGGCTGGGGGAGAATACATCTCTGTGATTATTACGAATGTAAGCTTTGGAGACGGTCCTCCTGGAGCTCCAGTTCCACTTCTTGTCGGCTGCTGGACCTTGGGAGACTTATTCTACTTCTTTGATTATTTTCTTCATCTTTAAATTGGAGATAAGAAAACTTATCTTTTGGGAGTTTAATGCTATCATGGATATAAAGTTCTTAGGACAGTGTCTGGTGCATTACAGTTATTTGATAAATAAATACCCAGATAACAAAGGAGTAAAGGTATGGTTAAATAAACAAATGAATGAATGAATGAATGACTAAAAAAATATGCTTGCCCTGGATATAGAAGGGCCACATAACTGATAACTGTGTCCCACACTATACACCTGGCTCATTTTAAAGAACCTGGTTTTTTCCCATGGGTTATCCAGACCAAAAGAGATTTCCAGGATGTTGAAAGCCTGCCTCCAAGCCTATAAACCCATCCCCTGGGACTTCTCCCTCTGTGTTGGAACTGCCGATTTCACAGGGGTGAAACACGAATTAATTCTCCCTTCTTTTACTTTAACATGGTTGCATAGGTCCCAGATGCTCAGGATGGCCACCATTTCACTTTATGGCCTTCTTTCAGTTTCTCTGAGAAAGTATCCTCAAGCACACACCATCTCTAATATTATCCTCTGAGGGACTTTGTGGTTAGCAGCTCCTCTCCCAGAAGCGAGGAAGTGGGGTCTCATTAGCACACACCAGGGATGCAGCCACTTCCTGCCACCACCCTCGTCCCACCCCTACCCCGCACCCCCGCACCGGAGAGCAGCCTGCCCAGAGGACAGAAACACCGCAGCTTCACTCTGCTTCTGTTGTTTCCCACCAAAGGGAAAGAAGAGCGTTCTCTGATTTGGTGAACTTCCCTCCTAGCTGAAAGCTTTTTTTTTTTTTTTGGCGGCTGGCCGGTAGGGGGATCAAAACCCGTGACCTTGCAAGGCTGCGCTCTGAGTAACTCCGGCAGGAAGCTTTCACGTTCCTCCCCTCATGCTTGCTTAACAGGAATCCAGCATGTGGATTCGAGTCCAAGATTTGTCACTTGCATGCTGTGTAACCTTGAATAAATGACTTAACCTCTCCGAACATCAGATTCTTTGCCTGTAAACTGATTGGGCTAGTTGATCCCTGAAGCTCCTTCCGGCACTCACTTTGGGAGGGTACATGCTTTGCCTGGAAATCATATATGTGTGGCCTTGTGACATTTCTTGTACTGATATTTAGATCAAGCATATGTATTGATTTTTTGCTGGGGAAATATACCTTATCTCCCCAGCTACACCAAGAGCTGACTGAAAAGATGGCACATCACATGTTCCTTGCATCTCCTGTGTTACCCGGGAGAGAGCCTTATTTATAGCAGATGCTCAAAGAATGCTTACTGATTGAATTCTCAGGTTTGGGGTCTCTGATAACAACAGCCTGAACTGCAAAATCACATGCTACTTTCTTGGTCTTCGAAATCCTCCCACAGAAACAAATCCAATCTCAATGAAAGGAGAAATGTTCTGCTTGGTGGTAGGGAGGGAATGGGGGACGTGGGGACAGCAATAGGAGGCTTCTTTCCTCAAAGCCCAGCAATATTTTTCTGTGTTCAAAGTGGAGGATGAAGCCTGCTTTATTACTTATCCCATCACTCCCTTCCCATGTGGCTTAAAACTGAAGCAGAAAACATACCCTTTGTCTGTCCAGTAGAGTCTACGGCCAATCCAGTCCACAGCAAGACCTTCTGGAACATCTACTCCTTCCTCAATAAGCCTTTCTCGCTGGGACCCATCCATATTAGCTCTCTCTATCCACTTCAGGGCTGTATGGGCAAAGTAGATCTGCAAAAGAAAACATAGGTGATGGAGTTTGGATGTGTTGTCCCCTCCAAAAGTCATGTGGAAATTTGATCCCCAATGTGGCTGTGTTGGAAACTGATTGAGTCATGAGGGCGGATCCCTCATGAATGGATTAATGCTCTCCCTGGAGGAGGGGGGATTAATGAGTGAGTTCTCGCTCTATTAGTTCCCGCCAGAGCTCGTTGCTTAAAAAGACCCTGGTACCTCCCCTCTCTCTCTCTCTTGCTTCCTCTCACCATGTGATCTGCTTGTACCCGCCGGCTCCCTGCCACTTTCTGCCATGAGTAGAAGCAGCCTGAGGCCCATGCCAGATGCAGCTGTCCCAGAATCGTAAGCCAAATAAACCTCTTTCCTTTATAAATTACCCAGTCTCAGGTATTTCTGTTATAGCAACACAAAACAGACTAAAACAATAGGCATTTCTGATTTGTTTAAAAAACCTGATGTGGAATATATACAAATGGGGTTATTAAGTGTTCAGCTTATACAGTGTAATTCTTATGAGCCTGGCTTTGGAGATAGATACAGCCACAACTAAACTCCAACTACACCTCTTCCCAGAAATGTGTAACCTTGAGCAAGTTACTCGATGTCTCAGAATCTTAGTTTCCTCATTGGTAAAATGGAGATAATAATATCAAGCTCATTAGGTTACATGATATGTGTACATAAATTCTTAGCCCTTTGCCTGGCACATATGCATTTCTATTGCTACTGGTAATTTATTAATTTTTGATCATTAGTCAATGACATAGCTATTGTAATTGAACCCTAGTGGCTTCTACAGCCTGAAAAGTAGTAATGGTTTGCAATTTAAAGAGGGCTGCAAGCTGGGCTGTATCTTCCACCGTTCAGTCCACAACACCCCGCTTCACTGCAAGTCAGGAGACACGGGGTCTTCTCCCAGTTTTGCCACTTATTTGCTCGATTGTCTTGGCCAAGTCATTTAACCTCAATTTTCTCAAGTGTAAAACTGAGGAAGTTAGTCTAGGTATTTGCTAAAGTTCCTTTTATTCTAATCTGATATGATTTCATTTTAACTAATTCATCTTGTTCAACAGAACATACCTTCCAGAGGCAAAGTTCTTTTTCAGTACTATGCAGGCTATCAAAGAAGTACAAGAATTCATGAGTGTCAAAAAAAAATCTTACGGGTTGGCTGACAATTTAATGACAGCATTTCGTAGAATTTTAACTGTTTATATACCTATATGTATGTAAACCTATAATCAACAATGAGAGTATTCACAAAATGGTAACACGTTAAATAGTGGGTTATTCTTTCTAGATAAAATAGAAAAGGTTATGTTTCAAAAATACTCTTACAAATATTGGTACTTATACTAAAAATGCTCCTCTTGGGCTGTGCTTCTCAAAATCTCATGTGCATATGAATCAGCTGAGAATCTCATTAAAATGCAGATTCTGATTCAGTGGTCATGGGTGGAGCCTGGGAGTCTGCAGTTCTAGTAAGTTCCAGGTGATGCTGACATTTCTGGTTTAAAGACCCAGTTTGAATAGCAAAAAAAATGAGAACATTAATCATAAAAATAAAAAACAGCCACCTGACTTACAGTTAATTTTAGGTCTTCTTATTCATCTAGTTGTAAAAATACTGACTATACAGGAAAAAATTAGTTTATTAGTTTGATAGTAAATAAACCTTGAGATTTTTTTTTTCTATTAACTATTTTTTTCTGTTAAAGTAATTGTTCTATGGAGCCATGTAGATTCAGTTCAGGGAAAAGAAAGAATTGTTTGCTAGTGTTTAATTACAAAACTTGTATTTGCAAAAATAGTTATATTCTACTATTAATCCATATCTATTAAACACAAAATCAATTTTCTTCAATCTCTTTTGGCCATCAACCAGACTACTTCAAATAAAAAAGAAACAAAGCACAAAATTTAAAATTCTAGAAATTGAGTACTTATGGAGGGTGATTAATAACTGTGTAAATTTATCATCATTGGGTGATAAATCTCCAAAAGACACTAAAACATCATTTCAAGCACTTTCTAACCTAGCACAAATACAACTAAGAAATTAAAGACCAAATGGCCAGCCGATTGGGTTGATAATATAGATATTCTAAGTTATATACAGAAAACTTCATGTAAAATTGATTATTACATAAATAATGTTATTAGTTAGATTACGATTCCCACATGAGAGATAAAACTTACGTTTCCTAATTTTCATGGTTAAGAGGTTATTGAATCCTCTCCCTCAATGACATATATTAAAAGTCAATTACTAACCATACTTCTTCCTGTGTCCTAACCACAATCTCCCACTCCTCCCACTGCTAGCAAATGATCAATCAAAAACCTATGTATGGAGCTCCCTTTATGTGCATGACACTGCACTAGTCTTCCATCCTCATCTTCAAAGAGGAAATTAAACTGAAGATCCTGCACAATCATCCACAGTAAAATGGCAGAATCACAGCAAGGATCGGGTGGGTGGCAGGAAAGTCCTTAAAATTTCTCAAATTTTTTTCCAGTGCCTTTAACTAGTTCTGTGCCACTTGTTCTAGGCTGAGCAGAGGATTTTCAAGTAGCCCAGGTCATCTGTTAGGATAAAATCCTCTACTCCTTCCTTAAAGCACATCCACATCTGTTCAAGTAACAGAACCATACCTTATTTTCCACAGGGTCATGATCTAGAGCAAAAACCGTTCCTATCTGCTGGCCGAGCAGGATTCCATAATCTGTTCCATCAAAACGCATGTGTCGAATATCTTTAGAATCAGCAAACAGCAAAAATGGTGGTGGTCCTGTTAACCAAATTTCAAATATGGCTGCTTGTAAAACATGCCTTAGAACTCAAGAGACACTCTGACTCTTCCCTTTTATTCCACAGTCCTGTTTAATTTCTGCAGCACTTGTTTTCTTAATTTCCCGCCAGTGTGGTACAAAGTCAAGCAAAGACACAGAAGACTTCCTTTTTTTTTTTTTTTTTTTGGCATTTTATGGTTAAGGGGATCCAAACCCTTGACCTTGAGGTTATCAGCACCGCACCCTACTGAGTGAGCTAACTGGCCAGCCCCCTAGGTATCTGCTTTTAAAATGCAAATTACTTATAGAGAGAGTTAGCACTAAATAACCAACACCATAGCTAAATGATGCAGATTTTAGGGCTGCAATCTCCTTGATTCACACAAACTGATATTAGCAGATTGAATACATTCATGTCTGAATAGATAATCTTCCCTGGTCTGAAAACTTCTGAAAGGAAAACATGATTATTTGAGTTGATAACAAGGCCCTGGATGATTTCATCATTATGTTATCTCAGATTACAATCATAATGAACCTTTAGGAGACATGAAATCAAATTTAATATAAATCTAGGATTTCCAAGGCTGTTGAGGGACATCAGAAGATGTAATACCAGGAAATGAAAAAATAGTTGAAGCACGATATGTTGGAAAATAGTTGAAGCATAATATTAAAGTTGTATAACTTTACATTAAATTTTGACATAAAAAGGGCAAAATTTGACTAAGTATTATGATTATTACATTTGCTGGAGAGATGAAAATAAAATCAACAAATATATATTAAAAACCCCTTAACTATAAAGAGTTTTAAGACTATTCTGGTCATGACTCTCTTATATACCGAAAATATCATATCCGACATGGCAAATCTTTGCTGGATGCTAATTAACTGAAAATATTCTTCAAAAACACTATTATTATTTATATCATTACTATATTATTCATATTTATAATGTGATTTGTTTTCTATTTCCAAAAATTTAAAAATCAGACTTTCTACCCAGAAGCCAAAAACAATTCAACTTTCTATCTCTCTGAATGAAATGTTTTCATGTGATCTTTTTGCGGGACACACTTTCAGAAAACCACAGCACTAACCTGAAGCTGCACAGCTTTTCTTGTCCAGTTGTAAGTCATACCCAGGAGAGCAACCGCATTCCCAGGATACTGGGCTGAGAGGAGTGCAGAGCTGGCTACATCCACCATTGTCAGGTGACGAGCAGCCTGCAAAAAACAGTTGCTCAGTAAAGATGCTATGTCATTTAAAATATGACAATTTTACATCAAAGTATTGGGATGAGCCAACTATATGTTGATTTTTAAAACTATTTCTACATCACTTATACTGCTGCAATCAAGTTTATTTTTCAGAGATTAGGAGAAAAGTGTCTCAGTACCCTCCTTCCTTATAACCCAACATCTTATATGTTACTCCTTCATATTCCCATGGCCCTTGTCCTCTTGTTCTACCACTGAGTTCAAGAACAAGTGCACTGGCACCTGCCTGGAATAAGAAATACATTTTGATAAGTTTGGTAGCTGGTCTTACTCTTCCTAGTGAGTAATCCATACTATTGCTCCCTCATATTTTTGACCTCTTGACTTCTTTTGCTTTCTTTATTAAAAAATCAAAACTCCACACATAACTCTTCTGCTAATTTTGAATGTATCCAGTCTCCTATATGCTGAAGTCTCTATGAAGAAAAAAGCAGAGTATTTATTAGGTGCAAGGAACAGACTAAGCACTCCACATCTGCCATCTCATTTAATCCAGGAGACACCAGTACCTCTACAGATGAGGAAACAGAGAGACTAAGCAAGGGCAAGTAACTAGTCCAAAACCACACTGCTAGTAATGGATAATGCTACCTTGGGGCTAACCTCAAAGCCCTTGCTCATAACCACTACATCAGCTGTCTTAAAAAAAAAAATCAATTTAAATATATATGTTAATCTGTTGCATAAATATCTTTCAGTGTATAGTATTGGAAAATCTATTCTCCTTCAACAGCAAGATCAAATTTTAGGTGCCACTTAGAAAATGTATGTTTTCAAACAAACTTTTGTTTGAATAACAAAATAAACTTACCACTACATGTTTTTCCATCTGTCTCAAGCACTGAGCCTTCAGGACAGAAACATATGGGACCATCCGATGTCAGAACACAGTCATGGCTGCATTCAGATACATTGCTTGGACAGGAAATTAATTCTAGTTAATGAAGAACAAGGTCAAGATTAGTGTTAAGTCAGGTTTGTGGAATTACAATCATTGAGTCATGCTATTCTGAAAAGAGTAAGTTAAATAAAGATCACACATTTATCAGATGCTCTGGTAATAGAGATAAAAAAATGAAAAAATTCAAATCTAAAAAATCAAACACCTATGATTTTGGAAAATGACTCTAGTTTCCTTTGGGTTTCTTTCATTTCAAATAAGATTTTTAAAGTTATTCGTCATCAGAATTCCAAAATATTTTAAATAGAAATTGACCTAATGATTCTCATGTTCATCTGGAAAACACCTTTCTTGTGTAAGAAAAACTAGGTTACTTTGTGAGTGTGGTTAGGTATAAGAAGAGAAATGAAAGGCTCTTAAAAATCAAAATTTATAATAAAGGTGCAGTCATTAAAACAGCTGGGAGTGGGTGCAGGAATAGACAGAAGATAACAGAGCGGGAGAGAAAGCTCATTTTAGAAAAGACTCAAATACACATAAGAATGTACTGTGTAAGGTATTATTTTAAATCAGTGATCATCTAAAAGATCATCCAATAAATGGTAGAGAAATAACTGAGTAATGATTGGAGAAAAAGTTAAGTCCCTACGCAATACTGTACATCAAAATAAATTCCAAGTAAATAAAAGATTTAAATGTAAAATATGTACCAAAAAAGTTCTAGAAGTTTTGAGAATCAAGTGAGATTATGTGTGTCATGCTTGGCACATAGTGGGACCTATAACATATTAACATCATGCACTTTAGTATCTTTGTCAACATACAAACCACATGGTATTAGGAGAGGAGCAAGTTTCATGGACAGGCACAAGGATACTGGGTAATTTCCAAGAAATTCATTTTATAAGCCTAGAACCAATGACTAATGCAGTAGCAGATTGTGTTTTCTAAATACAATGTCTCACTAAAAGGTAGCAGTACTCCTTGAGAAACTGCCGATTCCAGGTCTAGATCGTGAAATATAGGAGATGAGGCTGGAAAATATGTCCTAGCAGGTAACAAGGAAATTATCAAAGATGACTGTGACCAGAAACCCATTTGAAGAGGTTCCCACTGGGCAAAGAGGAGACAATTTGCTCATCAGTAAGGATAACAATTGCAATGGGTTGAAACATATAAAAATGTTTAAAACCCATGAGTTCATAATAATTCTTAATTTTTAAAAAACACTCATTGGCCACCTTTAGAAAGTGCCAAGGAACCAACCCATTAACCCATTATTCTAAACATAAATAAACAAAGAGAAAAAAATCAGGCATTTTATCTTGCCTTTACTGGAAGAAATGTATCTTGAGGTAACTAAATAGTCAATGAGAAAAAATTTTCTTTATAAAGGCATTCCAAAAAATAATTAAAAAGAAATAACAGAACTAGAATATCACCATTTGAAACTCTTGATGATAACAGATCTAGGAAATTATTGTTAATGGCTGCTACAACCATTTGTTGAAAGACAACTGGGGAACTTTATAATGAATGAATGAACACACTGACCAATCTCAGCATGACGGAAAGAAATAAGCAGAAATTATGTGTCTCCTGATGGAAGTACCAACACATCTGTGGAGTATTCTTGCCAAAAATGTTAAGCTGAATATGAGCAAGTCTGTAGGTCTAACTACAAGATTGCAGAAAAGACAGGAGCACACAGAGGTGTGATTAGCAAAATCCAGAAAGTGAGAAACTCTGCAAGAAAAAAATAGTTTCTTCAACAAATAATTGCAAGAGGAACAAAAGAACAGAGAGAATTTATAGAAAAAAGACAGAGATATCAACTTAACACAACAGATGGAGATTGTCTGGTAATTTATTCAAACAAATCAACTGTTCTAAAAAACTTCTTAAGATTACTGGGGAAACTTGAAAACTGACTAGATATTTGATATTATTTGGGAATTATTGATAATTTTTTAAACATGATAATGGTATTGTGGTTACATCTGAAAACTGACTGGATATTTAATGATAATAGAGAATTACAGTTACTTTTTTTTAGATATAATAATGTATCATTATTATGCTTTTTACATGCTTATCTTTTAGAGACACACAATGAAATATAAGGTTATATGGGTAAAAAACGGGACAATATATATATATATTTGATTTAGTAGTCTGGAGTAGAGACCAGTCACCCATGTTTTAAAAAGCAAAACCAGGGCCGGCCCGTGGCACACTCGGGAGAGTGCAGCGCTGGGAGCGCAGCGACGCTCCCGTCGTGGGTTCGGATCCTATATAGGGATGACCGGTGCGCTCACTGGCTGAGCGCCGGTCATGAAAAAGACAAAAAAAAAAAAAAAAAAAAAACAAATAAAACTACAAAGTAATTCTAATGACACTTCTGATTGAGGACCATCAACCCAGACCATAGCCACCTTAGAAACACTATGGAAAATGAAGGAAAATAATGCAATAAATATTTGTTGCTGTGACTTACGATGACATCGTTTCCCATCAGGAAGCAGAACAAATCCTGCAGGGCATGTACAATAGTAGGATCCAGGGGTGTTTTCACACCCAAGAGTACAGCCATGATTCCAAAAGGCACATTCATTGACATCTGCACAATGACAACAGCAAAACAGTCAGATGGATATTTTTGAAAATAAATTTTGATATCCCTGACAGGTCAACACAAAGTAAGGTATCTCACACTTATATACGCTGTGACTGACCATGGAAAGACTGTTCTTCCTACCTTAGGAAAGGGTGAAAAGAAGTCAGTTCAATGATCACAAAAGCCATTTCTATTCTGTGACAGTTTATATTTATACAGATTTTCATACTAGAATTACTCTTGGAAAAAAGCTAGTACTATTTCCCTCAGAAAGATACAGCATGCCATTTAAGTCAGGGACTCTTGCAAGTTCTTAACAAGCTTAGGACATTTCCTTCCCTGCTCTTCACCCCTCAAAACTTACTGAGCCCTTCCTCTGAACGTGGAACATTCTCCAGCAGCTTTGCGCTGATGGAAGCTATAGCATTCCAGCTCACTGTTTCTGTGTTTTAGCCACTGGTCTCACATAAGCAGGGAACTATAATTAATAGCCAGATGCTAGATTTACGTGATCTAAATTTACCTGACCTAGATTTACCTGATCTCTCCAACTAATTCCACAGAACGTGTGCTACAGCCATCAGGGTCTTTTCATCACTAAATCACTGCACCTTTCAGAAGAAAGGACACAGTATGTCTCTTGGGTTCATTAAATTGGTCCTGGAATCTCAAAACTTGAGGAGCCCTAGATAACCAGCCTGGTTAACAGTTTCCCAAGGTTCTTAACTAGACTTTTATGGGATGAGGTATGAGAGTCACATACTCTTTGAGAATCTCATGGTAACTAGTGAACCACTCCCCCAAATTTCCACATGCTGAAATTTTGCATATCGTCAAATGCACAGAGGTCCATGGAGTCCATTCAGAGAATTTCTGCCTTATATTAACCTCTTAGTTTCTGAGAATGTTTGATCTAGGAACACAGGATATAAAAGAGAAAGAAAAAAAAATAAAAATGCCATTCTGGGAAAAAAGGGGGAGAAGGGGTGAACTTAAAGTTGGTTTTGCACTGAGGCTCTGAATGGCCCACTGAAAACAAGCCACTGGCTCAAATGGGCTTTCCTTGCTTCAAACAGTGGCATGCATATTACCTTCACAGAACTTCCCATCCAGGCTCAAAGTATATCCCTCAGCACATGTGCACAGATGGGACCTGGGGTCTCGCCCACACACGCTGCCACTGCAGTTTCCTTTCCTTAGGTTGCAAAGTTTCTGCTCTAAAAGAGAAGATGGGTTATTTGGAATGGAGATGTGTTTTGACAGAGCATAATGCTTGATACCTTCATGGTTCTTAAGAAGTCTTATCTCAAAAAAGTTAATAATTACAGTATTTCTACTGTACGTCAGTTGCCTTACATACATTATCAAACTTAACCCTTAAAACAGGATTCAGAGAACCCTGGGTCTGAGTCCTGCCTGAAACTTCTCTAAATTTTTTTCCTCTGTAAAATGATGGTGATGAAAGTTTCTACAAATTGGGGAAAAAACGAAAAAGAAGTCTTATCTCCCTGAGACATCAGCAGGGGTGTAGGGGTGTGGTCTTTCTCAGCAGTGCACTGCTCTAAAGTCAGACGGCATTAGCCCGGATTCCCCAGCATTCCAGAGCCCATTTGTTTCTTTAATTGTATTCCTCCTATAATAGCTCTCAGGATAGGGCGTTCTAATTAGCTGAAGATGTCATTCATTAGCTTGCAAATACTAAGCACAATTTATTTGCTTTTCATTCTGATTTACTTTTATCAAAAAAAAAGCACATAAACAAAAATTCTGAAGATGACATATTAGATTAAAGAGCTGGCCAGTTAGAGTATAGTGCTGATAACACGAAGGTCCGGGTTTGGATCCCCATACCGGCCAGCTGCCAAAAGAATACATAGAGAGAGAAGAAATATCTGTTTATGAAATTATAAAGCTTCAAACCTAAGAACATCTTTTCTACATGTAATATTTATCAGTCAGTTCTACATGATACTTAGCTATTTCTATGATCGCTCTTTATTTATTTTTTTTATTTTCCTTTAGCAAGGAATTAATCATTTAAGTATTTCATTTTATCTTATTTATTTCTTTGGCAGCTGACCAAAGGATCAGGGATCTGAACCCTTGACACTGGTGTTACAACACCATGCTCCTGCCAACTCTTATCATCATTATTTAAAGAACATCTTTCAGACTTAATAAGTACCATTGCCATATGTCTTCTCCCCAAGTTTCTGAGTCTGTTGCTGCCAACATCTAATATGTTACAAAATTTCCCAGGATAATGAGTAAAATCTGCTCAGTGAGGTGGGTGCTTGGGCCAACTATATTGAGTAGCAAATGAATTAGCCAACTATATTGAGTAACAAATGATCGACTTGGTACCTTTAATTTTCAGAGTGAGAGTCAAAGGCTAACCTAGTCTAGTAACACATATATCCTTTTCAAAAAGTTAACAAGATTTTGTGTCTTTTGCTGCTTCTTATTTTTTGCCAGTTTAGAAAATGGCAGGACCTTTGTCACATGCTATGGAAAATACAGAGATAATCTTAAATGTGAGGGCAGATGCCCAGAATGCAGGTGGATATGGAGGCCAGAGATCTGGCAAGAGGTGAAAGCCAGAGAAAAAGATTGGGGTCACAGGCCCTGGTGTCATGGAGTTAAGATCAGCTAGAGCCAGTGTATAATGAGAAGAGCCAAGGACCCGAGAGAAGACTGCTGACAACATCGGCATTGCTGCAGAGGACGCAGAAAACAAAGCAGCAAGAGCTGCAGCACAGCTGTCAGAGTGCCTGGGACTTTTCTCCAAGTAGGTTTGTTTCTCTGATCTCTGTTTATCTACTTATAAAGATGTCTCCTCCATCTGACTTTACTCATTTCAGTCTATTTCAAGTCACTCTCAAAAGATAAAATTTCAACAAAGTTAGTTAAAAATGATCTGATTGCCTTTTATTCATGATTCATGAATCAGGCAGCATCTCATCTGAAAATAAGAGAGGTGCTCTGATGAGCATGGCAGAATAGTCAGTTTTTATAAGGTAGCTTGAGCAGAAACAAGAAAAGAGCATAACACAAAAAGCGGATTAGTTAACACCAGGTTACTTCAGGTTATGTTCTTTATAAGGGTTAAGCAGAGGAGACTTCCTTATTATACCAGCTAAAACTGACCTGTTTGGGAATTTGCTTATCATCTCTCTCCTGATTTCTCAGAAGGTCAGATAAACAACTTAGTCTCGCTTTAGTGACGTGGAACTTTAGCATGAGTGACTCCATTTTGGTTTGGTCTGTTGGGGCCTAGGGCAGGAGCTCAGTCCAAATCAATGGCCTCCCATAAATTTTATACAACTTCACTAAACACTTTCTTGACCAATAATAGCAGGATCCAGTTGAAACATATCCTTGCTCTCTTGAACGTATCACTAGTGTACATCTAGATTACCTGGAAAGCATGTCACCTTCTATAGATCTCATTTGGTAAATCAAGGGAAAGGCTCAGAAATCTGCAATTTTACAGATTTTACCACACTTTGAAAAACACTAGCCTGATGTCCTAATGAAACATTCCACCTTCATCTTAGTTATAAGTAAATACTTTCAGCTAGTCTGTGTTATTTCCTTAGTTATTTTGAACTTGTTTTTTCAGGTCTTTTGACAGAATTAAATGCATAATCAATCTTGTCAACTCTAAATACCATTGCAATACTACCTGCTAAATCAGTTAAGATTTACATTGAATAGTCTTTTAGATATTGATTCCAAAAATTGTTTTTTCTTGTCTATGGTTTTATGCCAATTATGCATGTATAGTTACATTATTTTCACGTTTCTACCTGCTTCGCTTAAACTGTCAAAATTTTAATTACGTAAAATTAAAAATAAAATGGCCCAAATTTTAAAAGTGAATGACTAAAATTAGAAACTTCTGAATTTAATGGAGACAAAATGCACTCACTTTAAATTTCTACAAAAAAAAATGTAATGTTCTTGTCTTTTAATTTTTATGAAATTTGCAAATGACCAAAAACAAGAACAAAAATCCAGAAAGGTCCAACCTGGCCTTTTTATAGCACCAAAATGCTACCACTTTCTTGAGGCAACAAAAAATTGAGAAATTAAGCTTCTTATAAATACCCCATATAAAAACCCAGCGTGATAGGTGATTACTGGACTAAGAATCAGGAAAACTGAGTTCTGTCTTGGTTCTGCCTTTTACAGCAAATCACTTTATCTCTTTGACCTCAGTTTCATAATCCGTGAAATAAATGTGTCTGAAATCCCTCCTTTAAAAAAAAAAAAAGTTCCATGGTTCCAAACAAGATTAAATGTGTGTTGTAAATTTCTCTAAGTTTATACCTGTAAAGATTTTCAAACCTTAATCACTGCTTGTAATACGTTAATGGAGAATCAAACTGACTAATGAAGAGAACAACTAGTGTCTAGGGTATAGGAAATGCTCTGTTCTTCCTGTAAATACAATATTATTTATCTTTTTCCCCATACCTTTCTACTACCTCTCATCTGGACTTGTGTGTGTTCTTATCATTATTATTATCACTGCCACCATCACAATTATGGACATGCATCTTTTTTTCCATTATTTGAGTCCACTTGCCTTATCACTATCCACGCTTACAGTCCCAATAGCACCTAGCATAGTGCCTTTTACAAAATCGGTGTACAGCAAACTTCTGGAATACATGCACAGAAAACCTGCAATCATGTTGCCTACAGCCTATCTCCCTTATTTGTTTTTTCCATGAATTTCTAGTCGACTTAGAGATAGAACTCAACAGATTGTGAGACTATGCTAGCCTGCTACTCTTTCCACTGAACCGTGCTGCTGATGGTTTTAGCAATACTTATTAACAAGATACAGCACTCTTCAATGATGGACACAGGCAAGAAAGGACCCACATTCTCCTCTGCATGCTTGTGCTGATGTAACCTGAATTCAGACACTAAACACTTTAAAAGGTCATTTTAGGAAGTGGCGAGACACAGAGGATTGAGGTTATGTTTTTGTTTAATCTCCTTAATCTTCTGTTGTTCCTTAGCTTCAAAATAGGCCCAAGCTAGTACTCAGAATGCTCTGCTGACCTCAGATAACACCCCTTCTCAGAGCCAGCAGTAGGGCTTAGTTATCTTTGAGATCAATTAAGGCTCCTAATCATGGAGTTTAATGTCCACCACCAACTGCACCGTCAGTAACTGCCTGACATCACACAGGCACTCATGAGCTTTCCTACAGCCAGCTAAATCTATAGGTTTCACCTTGGCCCAGTTCTGAAACAATGCACATGGGATTTCCTATCCTACTTTTTCCCACTGATCACATCTTTTTTTCCTACCTCAAATTCTGTGTAAGACTCACCTTATTAGCAAAGACTTTCTGGTCTCTTTCATTCCAACCCATCACTTTAATCATTCCTGTAACAAAAATATTTGGCTATTCTTTGCTATTTAAATTCCTAATTACAGTAAAATTCCTAATTACAGTAAAAAAAAAAAATTACCTAATCAGAATTCAGCTACTTGGTACCTTTATCCATCTGAAGTCTTCTAAGAATCAGAAAGTAATTAATAACAAGCAAAACCCTAAACTACACAAATACATGGAAACTAAACAATAGGCTCCTGAATGACCTATGGGTTCAAGAAGAAATTAAAAAGGGAATCAAAAGATTTTTTGAAACTAATGAAAATAAAGTTCCATCATACCAAAACCTATAGGATATTGCAAAAGCAGTACTAGGAGAAATTTATTTCAATAAAAGCTTACATCAAAAGACTGGAAAGACTTCAAATAAATGACCTAACACTATACCTCAAAGAACTAGAAAACAACAACAATCCAAACCTAAAGGTAGTACACAGAAAGAAATAATTAAGATCAGAGTAAAACTAAATGAAATAGAGACCCCAAAACAGTAGAAAAGATCAACGAAACAAAAATTTGGTTTTTCGAGAAAATAAATAAAATAGACAAACCATTAGCTAGGTTAACAAAGAAAAATAAGAGAGAAGAACCAAAAATAAAAGTCAGAAATGAAAAGAGAGACGTTACAACAATACCACGGAAATACAAAGAATCATTAGAGACTATTAAAAACAACTATATGACAACAAATATGAAAACCTGGAAGATATGGATATGTTTCTGGATACATATAAACTACCCAGACTGAACCAAGAAGAGACAGAAAACCTGAACAGACCAATAACAAGCAACAAGATTGAAGTGGTAATCAGCAATCTTCCAACAAAGAGAAGCCCAGGTCCAGATGGCTTTACAGCTGAATTCTATCAAACCTTTAAAGAGGAATTAATGCCAATTCTCCTCAAACTATTCCAAACAATTGAAACAGAAGCCATTCTCCCAAATTCATCCTGTGAAGCCAACATAACTCTGATACCAAAACTACATAAAGACACAACAAAAAAAGAAAATTACAGGCCAATATCCTTGATGAACATAGATGCAAAAATCCTCAACAAAATATTAGCAATCAGAATACAGCAGCACATCAAAAAAATTATACACCATGATCAAGTGGGATTCATCCCGGGATGCAGGGATGGTTCCCTCTTGACTCAATCCTCCCTTCCACAGCCACATGCTGTCCTTCTGTTCAGTCTCCACAGCTCTCTCCGGGAGCTATGTCTAAGACAGGCACGAACACCCTTACATACGAATTGTAACAGGGACCCATAATCCCTAACATTTTCCACATTATCACCAAATCCTAGTGGCATCCAACAGGTAGGAAGTAGAGGAAACAAACAATTCCATCTCTGTTTCTGCATCTCAGAGGGCTATTTGAGATTAAGATTAAATATATTTTAAAACCTTCTTGAAATGAAAATTTTACATAAAGGTGAGATGTTGGTATAACATCATTTATATGGCATTAAGCCATAATGATCAGCCTAACAATTATAAAAAATAAAGAAAATCCTAACAATTTAAAAACAAAAAATCATACGCTAAAGAATTCAAACAGAGAGACTAAACTTGGAAGTAGAAATTTGGGGCTGTGACTAGATTTAGTCAATCATTTATTCAATTTACTAACATCTATTGTCTAAAATTTATTCATATATAAATAACCAATGTATGTATGATGATTAAAAAACAAACAAAACAGGTTTCCTACCTGCATGGCCCTTATAATCAAGAGGTAAAAAGAATCAAAAAGAAAGTAAATTAATGTGTAATTACACCTTGTGATGGGTTCAATGAAGGGTGTACTGAGAGAAAAACAGGAAGTGAAGGGGCCTACTGAGGTTGGCAGATCAGAGAAGGCCTATCTGAGGACAGGACTTTTAAGCTTGGAACTGAAGAGTCTTCCAGGTGGAGAGAGGAAGGACTGCAAAAGCCTGAAGGCGCAAAGGAGCTTGGCACGTTTGAGGAACTGTAGAAGGCTTGTGATAGACCTAGTGAAGTGAGAGTGTGAGAGCAGGTTGGTCCAATGTTGATAGTTCTAGTAAAACATTGAATTTCCATCTAAATGCAAAAGAAAGCTTTTGAAGGATTTTAAGCAGGGAGTGAATGGATCAGGTTTATTATTTAAAGTCAAGAGGAGAAAACAAATCCGTAGAGTGGCTGCGATAACAGGTTAAGCAAGAAATGCTGGTTGTTTGGACTATGGTTGTGGCAGTAGAGGAGAGAAGTGGACATTTGAGATGTATTTAGGAGGTAGATGGAAAGGATTTGGCTCTAGATTAGAAATTGAGAGTGAGGCAGTGGGAAAAATCAAGAGTGAACCTGCAGGAGACAGGAATATGCCACCCCAAAATATGAAGGATTTGTTGAGCTGTAGACAATTAAGAAGAAGCAGATGCAGGAAATCTCTCTACCCTACATTTGCTTAAACACAGGACATAGATTTAAAAAGACAAAAAGTGTAATGCCCTTTTTTACCAGGGAGAACAACAGTTAACCACTGAAGACAACTTTGGACCCTTATCAGCCTGGAGATGGCACCAGAGGAATCCGCATGAACAAGCTTCACCAACTAGCCTTTGTCTGCCGTTTACTTGCCTTCCCACCGGTTGCCACTTGTAGAGACTTAAAGTTCTTTTCCTTTGTCTTGTCCCATCTCTAGAAATTGGTCCTTCCTTGTTAAAGATGCTATATAAGCTGGAATTCAAAGCCATCTCTTTGAGAACTACTCATTCCCTGGGTGTTTCCCGTGGATATATGAAATATACATGTCAATAAATTTCTGTTTGTTTTCACTTATTAATCTGTCTTTTGTTACTGGGGTCCATTTCAACCAAGAACTTATGAGGGTTGAAGGAAAAAAATATTTTTTTTCCCCTACAACCCCTAAGTGTCTGGCTTAAGAGAATAGCTGGGTAAGGACTAGGTGCCAGGCCCTGTCAAGATCAGAGGTGACTCACCAGTCTCCTGAGCATTGTCCTCTGCCTTGGGCTGTACAAGCGGATGTACCACAGTGAGCTCACCAGGTGGTGCAAATGATGGATCGAGGCTAATTCTAACCATATCCTTCCCAGTGAGTTTGTTGGCTATCCAAATTGTGTTCTTTTTCCATGTTGAATAGAAGATACGGTCACCAAAAAGGGACATTGCAAACAAATTGTGCCTTAAAAAACATAAAGAATGGCAGAAAATTTGTTCATTGGGTTATTAAACTTTCACTTCATTTCAATTTGTTGTCTGAATTTTAATTACATACCTTTTCAATTGTTTCTCATTTAGGTTTAAGAAAGTATAAATTTAAAATTTTATTTATGTCATCATAATCTGAACTAATAGGACATCATTTCTAACTCCAGATCCACTGCCTCATTCTTCTGTTAGTCATCACTAAATGTAAGTATGATGAAAATTGGTGAGAAAATAGCAACAGGATAAGAGCGGATTTCTGGTTTTGTCAGTTTCACACTTGACTAATTTCTGCTTCTTGCTACAAGCTGGAGAGTCTGTTGCTGGCATGATATCGAATTGAATAATAATTCCAAAAAGAATGAATCTGACCAACAGGTGAGAATTTATTATATGACAAATACTCTATTATTTTTATTTGCATTTATTTACTTACTCTTCACAACAACCCCAAGAAATAAATACTATTATTATCCCCACATTAAAGGAAACTGAGGATACAAGAGGTTGTGTGAACTTTCCAAAGTTATTTACCTAACAACTGGTAAATCTGGTATTTGAACTCAAGCCTTTTGGACTCCAAAATCTATGTGCTAAACCACTACACCATATTAGTTGATAAAGGTAAAATTAATTTATCACACAAACTTCAAGTGACAATTGTCTTATTTTACAGCAAAAGCAAAACTTACTGTGTTAGCTGCTTGCTAAGACGGACAAAACCCCCATTATAATCACAGGAACAAATATGAGAATGACTTCCTTCTGTACTGTACTGAACCCAAAAGAGCCGTTTATCAAGCACATACAGTGACACAGCTGTTATTTTCTCTGATGTCTCCAACAAAGTCTTCACTTCCACACCATTGAGATCTGCCCTGTGAAGGCTTCCGGCCACTTCTGAAGACCAAAATATAAACCTGAGGGCAAACATATCACACAGACCTATCATTGAATGTACCGTCACTTCAGTGGCTGACTTTCTCAGTCTTTCAACAGCCCTTATTTCCTGCACAGGACAAGTTTGACTATTTTGAATGAAAATTCAATTCAATGAGTATGTATTGCTCTATTAAGGAAATTCCATGTGATATCAAGTTAGATGGAGAATTATGCTTCTATAGCAGAAAACCATGGCAGTTAGGAGTGTTTCTAGAGAAGCCTGCTTTGGTTCAAATCCAGCAGCTGTCCTATTGAAAATAGTGTCTGTGTACTATAAAAGTGGGCCTTGGTCTCAGTAAGAAGGCCCTTTTGAGTTCAAAATGTTATGATTCTGTGAATCTTCATTAGATTTTGAAATATATTTCAATGTCTGAGAGCAGAAGAATTTACCTTTCTACTGGATCAACTGCTATATTTGCAGGATATTTTAAGGCACTTAAAAGAACATGGGAATTGTTTCCGTTCATATCTGTTACTGTAATGATTCCTTCCTGTTGATTTGCCCAAATAACTTCTTCATTTATCCAGTTTATCGCCATTCCAGAAACATTCTTCTCTATATTGCACACTGTCTGTAAAATGAATTTTAAAATTGTTATTGATATTTCCCCATTCACGACAAAATTGTTTTTATTGCTATGAATAAAAAGTCTGTTCTTTTAAGTACTTGTCATTTTTAATGTATTCTCAAAATTATTTAAATGATAAAATAGTCACAGATAAATGGTGCCTTTGTTTTGATGCAGCAATATCAACCCCCCCATCTCCATCCCATGTGAATATTTCTGAGCATAGTATTTATATCGTAGCTTTGAAACTGAAAATCATCCCATGCATTATTGAAATTAAGCAATCAGCCATATATATGTATTAAAAATCTCAACTCTAGTAACAGGGAAATTTTGATGCTACCTTAAAAACAGTTTATTCGATTCACTTTGCTAATGGAATTTTCTAGATCTTCACCTGGACTCAGTTCCAAGCTTTACCAAATCCTGGCAAGATTCCCTTAGAGTTTGTGCACAGAGCTATGAAGCTGATGAATTTCTTGTAGGACCCTCATTTTTCTTCTGGTGCCTCCTCCTCCATTTGGCCCTTCCTTTCTGCAGTTCTGCATGCCCTCACCCCATGACCACAGTAGCAGGACTTCTGTTTATGCCTCTTGGGCTGTGCTCCCAGATCTCTCATGATAAAAACAACCAGACCTTAATGCCAGCCATGCATAGGAAAACCGGTCTTCTTGAAGGATGGGGGGTACAAGGTGGGCAGAAGCTCTGATCTGTACTGTTGCAGATTTCCACCGTGTAAATATTCCCACCATCGCAGATTTCCAGCTACCCATGTGAGGTCGGTCACTGAACTCAAAGCTGGGCAGAGACTGCACAATCTCATGAGCCTGTGCTATTCCTACATGTCCTACACAGTATTCAGTCAATCAATCCATCTTGCCAATTGCTAATATATTCATATATTAGCTCACCCAGGTAAATTGTTTGCATTTTAACAGCTGTCATTTATAAACAATGTTTTAACCCAAGGGAGAGAATATAATGGAATTGTAAGCATCAGGTCAATTCATTTCTTGATGACTTGATATAAATTTACAACTATTGAACAATTTTTGTTGTTGTTGTTCTCTGACAGGAAACCCTCCAGATTCTTAGCCTCAAGATTTTGAAACAATTCGACCAGATGACTAAAGAATAATGAGTTGCCATCCTTGTTAAAAGTGAGATTAGCAAGTATTAGAGATGTGATAAAAACAGATTAGCACCTAATTGAAGCTTTTAAGAGTAATTGGAGAAAGAAAGGTTTGGTTAAAAAAAAAAACAACCAAACAAAAAACAGTGGACACTTTGTGTTCGGAATAAATGCTTATGGTTTCTCCAGTCATGTGCTCTCTGTAATCCATCTCCAAAGAATTGAGAAAACATTCATTTAAGGGTTCTACCAATTAAAAAGAAAGAGTAAGGATTTTTTGTATGTATTTAAAGTAAAATACTTTATATCTGTCATCTGCTTTATTATTATTATTATTTTTTTTTTTGGAGTGCAAATACTTTAAGAATAAAAAGTAAAAAACTTCTTCCTGATGTCAGGTGCTAAAACCCAAGAAAAATTGTATACAGATAAAACATGGTTTGTCAACCTCAATACTATTGACATTTTGGGCAGAATAATTCCTTGTTATGGGAGCTGTCTTGAATATGTAGGATGTTTAGCAGGAACCCTGGTCTCTACTCACAAGATGCCAGTAGCACTATCTCCCCACTCCTACCCCACCTAGTTATGACAACGAAAAAGGTTTCCAGATATTGCCAAATGTCCCCTGAGGGGCAAAATTGCCCCCACCCCCACCCCCAGCTGAGAACCATCGGGGTAGAAAATAATCATGCAAATAACCTGTTTTAACCATAAAACAGATTGACAAAACAGGTTGATCTGACTTAATAAACAGATATTTTCAAAATTACATTCATATTCTCATTTTCTCCTTTTTGGGCCTCTGAATATCAACTTATGAGCTTATTCAATAATATAGTGCCACAGATGCAGATTAAATAAATATCGACATTTGACAGACAGACACATATTTGAACCATAATGTAATTTTCATTTACCTATATGTTAAGAATTTGCCATATAATATTTTTCAGCCAATACAAACATCCTTCAAATACTGCAGGTAATGGTACTTTACCTCTTGCCTTGACCCATTCAGAAAAACTCTTTGCAAAAGTTGTCTCTCTAAGTCCACCCAATAGACTCTTTCCTCACTGTAATGAAAATCCATGATCACTGAGACACCAGCGTCCGCCACCAATTGCTCATGATTCGTTCCTTCCAGGTCAATTCTAAAAATACTACTCCCATGGGAGAAAATTAAGAAGGGCGCAGGACCTGAGTAGGAAGAAAGAAACCAAACTGTATATTTTCAGTGATATTTTATCTGATTTAGATAAGATACTTCCCCATGACAACCACCACAACAGAATTAGCATTTAATTCCTGGTTTTTTATTCTAAATAAGGACTTTTGTATAGAGAATAAAGAGTTTCTGTAGATGTTCACCATTAATTTGGTAAGTCATCTTCTCCACAAACTGAGTGTAAGAAATGAGCATTGCCAAATTATGAAAAATGAACTATTTCAAAAGAAAGACACTTTTACTCATATATAAAATCCTTTTGTATGTTCAAAAAGAAACCACCTGCTGAATTCTATTGTGAAAAGGGTCTGTATGAATATAAATTCTAATTATGTAAATTAGAAATAAAATCACAGATGTTATCATTTGGGGAATGGAGTCCCCTCCCTCTAGACTAACCTCATGGCCAGAGTCCTCAGGGTAATAACATAGAAGAAGATGGTCAAAAGTGGAGGCAGGTCTTAAGTGGAATCAGGAAAAATTGAAATACCATCCTTTGATAATTCTAAAATATTTTGAGCCTATTAGCATCGTCACATGAAATACAGGATGCCCAGTTAGATTTAAATTGCATATATATATATATATAGTGTGTATAGATATAGATATATAGATATAGATATAGATATAGATATACACACAGCGTGGAACATACTAAACACTAAAAAGAAAAATTCCCTACTTACTTGAAATTTAAATTTAACTAACAACCTTGTATTTTTATTTGCTAAATCTGGGTGGTGTACCTCACTGGATTTCTTGGTTCCTGCAGGGTGTTGCTCTGTACCCTAATCCTATACCTACAGTCCTGTCCTGTTCTAGGGGATGGCCCCCTACCCACTCTGACTCTCTAGTACTCAACATCTGCTTGGGAACCTAATCCTTTCTTTGGAAACTTCAGCACTAATTACTGGTTGATTCCACACAGAGCTTGCCTTTGATTCTCAGAGATGACTTCAGGGGATGGTTTCGTCCCCTGCAGCCAGGTTAGTTTCCTTGGTCTCTTCTGACCAAGGGTTTGCAGACTCTGCCCACTCTGCCTTTAGAAAATGATGCAACCACTGGAGTGAGTGGGGGATGGGCGAGAATTCTAATATATTCTTGCTTTCCTGTTGGGCTTACTCCATTGCATCTTAAAACCTTAATACCTTAACGTGACTTAACAAATGTGTTTATTGTTACTAGTATAAGGATTAAACAAAATGATGGATTAACATCCTCTTACTCAGGGGTTATGTTCTAGAGCCAGAAAAAATGAACTCCACTTTAGAGAATACATCAAAATAGAGACACAGGAGGCAAGGAGAACTGTAAGATCATGAGAGTTTGAAATAGGTGTCAGCATAAATGTGTAAGGGAATCAGCTCAAATCACACTTCTCATATCTTTGTGACACCAGCCCCCCTGCACAGATGTGTAGGGGAGCCCATGCTCTGTTGCCACTCCAGATGTAAAATCACAGAGGCATCTTGGAAGAAATGGAACGGCCACTGAATTAACAGCCAGGAAGCCTGGTTTCTAGTCCTGACTCCACCAGCTTCTCTGGACATCTCACAGGATCTCCCCTGCCTGGATCAAAGGATTATCACGGAAAAATTCACATTATTGTTTTTTGTTTTTTGGTTGGTTTTTTTTTGTTTGTTTTTGGTGGCTGGCCAGTTTGGAGATCTGAACACTTGTCTTTGGTGCATGTTATCTTTTAATTCTACTTTTCCACAAACTTTTTTGAAGTACCCCTGTATAGCAATGAATCATGGAGAAAAGGACAGCACTAGGAAAAGGCACCCTGAACCCACAGCTACTAATTTGTGGGCCACAGATCACTGCAGGCTTGTAGATTTACTGCCAGGAGTCCTTTTTGATTCTGGTATCATGCATTCTCTATAAACTGAATAAATGTGTCCAACTCAAATAGTTAATTTTCTAATGCATTGATGCATTGGTGAGATCGATAAAATATTTATTTAAAAGTCTTACTAAATGGTAGCGTTCCACATAAAAAATAAAGGAAAGGCACTCTAAAGATTTTAATATTCTTCACCCCAGAAGATGATATAATCCTTTGTACATAATAGATATATAATAGGTGCTCAAAATTTTTGAATAAATATATCAATAAATTAATGAAGAAATAATCGTTTTGTATATTTGTCTGGGCTTTTACTGATGAAAACAAATCTAAAAAGACTAGCAGATCTATCAAATTCACAGAGCATGGTGTATCCTATGTTAGTTATTTTACTAACAGCAATGATAAGAATAACAACAAATTTTCACATCCTGATCTCATTTAGACCCAACATAACATCATGAACTAGATAGGCCAGATATTAAAATCAATAAATCAGAGAGCAAATAGAAATCTGAAAAACACTTAGACGCATAAAACACAAGTCATAGCACTAACTTCAGTAACTTAAAAATAGAAAACAGAATCATTATAAAAACACTAAATCTATGTATAAATAACTAACACATTTTATCTTCAGATTTTGCCTATCTGAGGGCAAATCATAGCATCCAAGGTTTATTATAGCATCTTAGAACTGGCAGACTAATTCAGTATTACCTAAGTCACATTACTTAATTCAGTGTTTTCCAAAAAATTGTTTGTTTAAAAGAATCACACAGGGTGCCTGTGTATGTATGTTTTTTGCAAATCCCCTCCCTTGAGATTTCATCTAATTAAGTAGGGCTGGGCTGAGGGCGAGGAATCTGTGTTTTAAACAGACATTCCAGGTGATTGTCATGTCGTGGTGAATTTGGAAAATTTGGGATCTAGTTAAAAAGAGGAAATTCAATGATATTTCCCAAAGTTCCACCACTAGCTGGTAGTAGGGTTGGAATTAGACTCCAGGTACTGCCCTCCCAATCCAATACTCTTTCCAACTCTTTTCTGCCTTGGTCTGGTTGGTTACAATCTTCATTTTACAAGTGGAATTTATTCTAATTCCACATCCTTCAAAACACTCTTCCTTTTTCTTACACTGTCAGCATCACTTTATGTAAACCTGGGCCAGGACTGAGATATGAAATATAATATGACTTAAAAGAAAATGAAACACTTTGAGAGTTAGTCTTGGTGAAATAGTTACTATTCTGTACTCACTCTGGAAATGATAAATAAGTTAGTGTTCTTCAGACCTGTCAAGGACTCTATAAACACCTGTGTGTGGTAGAATCTGCAGATTTGAACGTCAGCAGGGTGTGCGTGTTTGAACAGCTAAAGCTTTCCCATGTCAAAACCTATGGCATTTATTTTGGGTGCAATTCGGCATTTATTTTGGAAGCGCATAGAATATCAAACATCATTTCTAAGGAACATAAACCCAAAGACAGCACACAGGTCACAGCAAATCAATTGGAACCTCTGACTTCTCAACTTAGGGATTAGTAGCAGATCTTCAGGGATTAGAAAGGAGCCTAGAATTTTTGAGCATATTGAAGACTTTTATTAGTGACTACAAAGAACTAATGCCTCCATGTCACTCCATGGTCAGTTACAAAAAACAGGTTTTGATTGAAGTAGGTGGCAGAAACAGAACATTTCACAACATGCAACTCTTCATCCACTGTGAGTCTGTGGGAGTGGCCCCACACAAGTAAGTGAGAAGAGAAATTGACTGTCTTCTGTGGGCCCTGGGGGCAAAAGCTCATGGAAACTAGTTAAGACATAAATGACACAATCAGATTAAAAAGAAATCCTAGTCTTCTCTCAACCCAGCGCTGCCACCTGCCCCCACCATCACAGGTTTCTCGTCCTAAATTTAAAGACAGACTGAAAGCTCACACACGATGAAGAAAATGGAAAAGGGAGCTTCTGGTCCTTCAAGACTCAGTGACACCACGAGAAAAGGATGTAGATGGACCCCATGTAAGAAAGCCTGCCGCCTCCTCCCACTGCTGTCCTGATAGGGATCCCTTGTAACCATTCCCCAGGGGACTGACTTGAATGATAACTTGGGTTTTATGAAGTACAAGTTTTATTTCACTCTGAAAGACTTATCTCATCACATTTTTTCAGTGATGATATTCAAAAGGGCACAAATTTACTTTTTTGGGCAATCACAGCTTTCTTCTTAGCTTATTCATTAATGTCAAAATTCAGGGCCGGTGAGAGGAAAAAGCCAGGCAACTCAGAAATAATACACCCAGAAAGGGAAGCCACAAGATTTTAAACTATGTCTTAATTCTGTAAAGAATGCTCTGAGGCTTGATTTTGCTTCCCAAAAAATATTAATGAAAATCGCCACCCTAGATCCTGAGTAGTGGTAGAAATATGTCCTCCAGAGCAGAAAATCATCCTTACTCTACCTCCAACCGCATTCACACTCAAGCTGAAGAGGCTTACTCCTAGGTTCTGAGGATAATAATTGAGATTAGCAGGTTCTGCAAAATTAAACTTTTTTTTCCCAACAGAGTCTTTAATGTGCTATCACACATTCAACGCTAGAAGAAGGGGGATGGTGAATATCATCAGACTAATAAGAGCCAACATCTTGCATGCTGTCCCTGGGGTAGCACACTGAATGCATTTCATTTAAGTGGGTGATACTAGGAGGTAAGTGCTCTGCTCATCTCCATTTTACAGAAGAAACTGAAATTTAGAGCAGTTAATGATGCAAGTCACAAAGCCAGTAAATAGCAGAGTTGGGATATAAAGCTATGCCTTTCTCATCACAGTTTATCCCAAACTGAATGCACCAGAAATTCTTATTGTTTAGTGTGCTGTAGTTCAATTGTGTTAAGGAGCCCACTCCAGGAAATGCTGTTCTACGCATGTTCACCATAAGGCTGCATTCTCTATAAACATGTTCCAGGAACTAAGTACAAAATAGGTCCCTTTAAATAGAGTCATAAATTACATCACTGGGATAATTTTATATCTAACTCTGTAATATATTGCATTCCATATATAATGCGTTCTTTTCATTTCTTGGTTTGTTGCTCCTTCTTCCATCTTCAGAGCCAG